TAGAGAGGAAAGAAATGCTCTCCAAAGGTCAGCAAAGACAAACCCAGGCCATTCTAAAGTTCAGATGTAGAAACCATTTTTACAAAATATGCTGAGAACCTTAAGATATAGCTTGTTAAACTATCTCTAAATTTTACACGCCCTTCGATACAAGTAATGACCAAGTGTGTCGCTCTTCACTGAGCTCTGATTGAGTCCTCTCCTGACTCAATCAGAGCTCAGTGAAGAGCGACACACTTGGTCGTTACTGCCTTTTGAGAGCTGAAGTGTTCAAAGGGCCACCTACTTCCCTCCCTTGCAACAACCCAACAGATGGCACTGTGGATTGAATTTCTCCAATGAAACACTCCTCAGCTAAATGAAGAGGGGTCATTAGCTCCTCCGTTGCACTGAATTTGGACAGTAACTTAAGATAAAGCATTTTGTTCCTTTTCAATTTCCTGCACATATTATCTGTCCCTGATTTGATTAGAGAATTCATGATAATACCCAATATTATTAAACTTCTACATTCTGACTCCCAGTAACTATTTTTCCCCCAAGGAATGAATAAATTGGGGGCAGTTGTGTGCCAGTGCCACGAGGCAGAGAAGAAAATAACGTTATAATTGGCCTGCCTAACTGCCATTGTTATATTGGGCTTCTGTCATGAAATTGAAATAGCACTGGACTTAGAACCAATATACTTGGGGTTTATGTAGTAACTTCTCACACTTCAGATCCTCACTATCCACCTAACTGAATTATTTAACCTCCTGAACCTGTTTCTTGTCTGTAAAATGGAAATAGCATCACTCATATTTGAGAATAGTTGAGATTAATAAATTATGTGTATGAGGGTGAATTAGATACCATCAATGTAAGATATTATTTTGCACCTAAAATGAAAAAAGTTAATCACAGAGCAATAGGTTTTATCTTTTTCTATTTTGTTTACGGACAATTGATCTTACTACACATCAGAGAATTGTAATAAAAGTATACATATATACACACACATAAAAATATATAATTATATAATTGTTATATATCATATAAAATGATATCCTATATAATAAAACCCTAATATGCAAATCGACCAAAGGGCAGAGTGACTGATCGCTATAACACGCTCTGACCACAGCTATAACACGGAGCTGCCCCCTGGTGGTCAGTGCACTCTCACAGGGGGAGCCCTGTTCAGCCAGAAGCCAGGCTCATGGCTGGGGAGCACTTCCTCGGTAGCACTAAAGACCACTTGGGAAATATGAGGGATCCTGGACTGTGAAAGGGCACAGGCTGGGCTGAGGGACCCCTCTCCCTCATGCACAAAATTCGTGCACCTTCAAAGGAATCATGGGCCATGATGCTGTGCTAGGCACAGGGATGGGTCTCACCCATCCTCCATGTCCCTGCCCAGCCCCTCCTGTCTCAGCCCCCTGGTTCCCTTTGTGCCAGCAGCCCCACTCCCCCTGCTGCTGCTCCTTCATGCTGATGACACCGGCTCTGCTCACACCTGTTGACAGCATAGAGTGATTGGGGTGAGAGCCAGCAGTGGTGCCAGTGGGGCCGGTGCCATCAGCGGGTGCTAGCAGTGCCTGCTGCCCCAATCGCCCCTCAGGAGCAAGAGGGGGTGGAGAAGCTCTCAGGGATTATCAGGGCTATCAGCTGCTGATCACACCTCTGATAGCACCTAGTGATCAGGACTGGCACAGTCACCAGCAGCAGGTGCAAGTGCTGGGCGTCTGGGACTTTGGTGCACAAGAGCAAAGAATTTTTGGTAACTCCCAGAGGCTAACCCCTGTCAGTGACTGGCACCCTGCCTTGGTCTGACACCCCCACTCACCTGCTCTACCATCCCACCATGGCCAACACCCGCCATGTTCCACGCACTCCCCCTGGTAGTCAACGCATGTCATAGCAACCAGTTGTTTGGTTGTTTGGTTGGATGTTCCTGTTGTTCCACCATTCGGTCCATTTGCATATTAGCCTTTTATTACATATGATATATATATCATTCTAGGCAGTAAAAGAAATGCTGTGAAATATGACTTTCATAAATCATTACTTCTATCCCTTCATTAGTCATTGCAGGTACATATTCATCAAGTGACATGACCAGAGGCAAATAGGAATAGGATAGAGGACCTGACTTGGATCATCCCAACTCTCCCCAGAGCACTTTTCACAAAGCTTAACAGACTAGAGCTGGTTGGGCCTCTGAGACCAAATAACCCCACAGGGATTAAAAAAAGAAAAGAAAGTTGATTGATTTTGGTACCATTAGCAGGAAGCATGTGGATGGCTTTGTAATTACTTCCAAATCTTTCAGAATAAAAGCCCACAGATCCACAGTCTTACATGATCTGGCTGCCTGTTACCTCTGACCTTAACAACTCCCTCCCTCCCTTCGCACACTTAATTCCATACATGCTGGCCTTGTGTTTCTTAAACACATAGGCTGGCTCCCACCTCAGATCCTTTGCCCTCCCTACTTCTGCCTGGAATACTCTTCCCCCAGGTGCATGTGTGCCTCACTCGCTCCCTTTGAAGTTTGTTATGTTATCCCAGGTGTATGTGTGCCTCACTCGCTCCCTTTGAAGTTACAGTCCCAGTGAAGTCCTTCCCAGTAACCTGATCCAAAATTACAATCTTTCTGTTGTGACAACTCATACTCCCGCTCTATGCTTTTGTTCTTCACTATTTCTAACAGAGCTTGCTTTCTTGTCTGTTTCCTCTCACTAGAACTAAAGACTCACAAGATTGTTACGGTTCTATTCTTAGTACATAAAAAAGAATTTGGCATAGTAGGTTGTCAGTAAATGCAACAAATAAATGACCAATAGCTAGGTGTTCCCGTTATCCATTCCTGCTTACCAAATCGCCCCCTAACAGGGGTCAGCTAAGTGGTTTTGCTCAAGATCCTAAAAGAAGGCAGGTCATCTGAAAGTCCCCTCCCTTACATGGTGGGTGCCTGGGATGGTTCAAAACAGATGATCCCTTGAGCATCTCCATTTCAATTTGGGTTCTTCCTCAGGTCTCTCCAGGATGGGGATTTCAAAGCAGCCAGATTTTTTATATAGCAACTTGTGGCTCTAAAGCAAATGTTCTTAGAGAGCATGAGGAAGTTTGCCACCTTTTATGTCTTAGCCTGGCAAATATAATGGCCCTGCCACTCTGTCAGCCCAAGCATGAGTCACAAAGGCGTATCCAAGCCCAGGAGGAGACAAACATAAACTCTACCTTTTTTTAAAAAAAATTATTCTTGATAAGGAATGAAAAGGTTCTGGGAAATCATGTGAGCAGAAATACTGTAGCCATTTTTGTAAAATACAATCTGCCATGCCAAGGAAAAAAAAATCAGGAAAGTCAAGAGTAGATGTCCCAGCAGAGCAGAACATGAGGAGGACCTGAGAATAAGCAACAGATAATGGTCCCCACAGGCAAAAAACAAAAAAATACTGACCACAGGGGACTCAAGCTAGCACAGCAGAATCTGAGGCCCCCAGGAAGACTGAAGTGTCAAGAATCAATAGATGAAATAAACAATAAACAGCAGCCAAGGATGGCTATCAAGAGCCTTGGGAACATGAATTTTAGTCTGTGTGACCCAGGTAAATAAGGCTCAGTGCTACATCTGTCAGCTAATTTTCATTCTCCCGGCAAAGCCTGGTTGGGTATTTCTGGTGCTCCTTGTCTCAACCTTCCCTAAGCAAGGTGGCTTCCTCCACATGGCTTTTTCTCCTTGCCATAACAGGTCCCTTAGCTCTAAAACTGAAGGGGCAAAATATTTAAGACTCTAATCCCATCAATCATTGGATTTGCTTGCTTGCTAACATGGGGATACTCACAATTTGAGTATTTTCCTAGATTTCCTACTGTATTTTCCGGCATATAAGACATTTGAAAGAAAAAAAAGCCTGCTCAGATTGGCCAGAGTCAGAGAGGCGGTCTATTAAAAAAAAGAACTGGTGTTGCCTCGGAAGTGGGGGGTAGTCTTATACAGCAAATATAGGCTTAAACCTATGTTTTAACTGTAAAATTAGGGGGTCATCTTATACGCCAGAAAATACGGTAACCTAAAACCGTGTTCATGGTTTCATAATTTAAATTAGCATTGTTGTACAATAGTCAATCTTATTTTTTAATTTCCCCTTTCGTATTTAGATAAGGTTGAAATTACCAATTTGTGAGCACGCTCCTTTATTCAGCTCCATTTACAGATCTTAAATACTGCCAATATTCACTTTTTCTCCTCTTTCAAGTTGGATTAGGATTCCTGAATTACCCATTTTCTCAGCTCCTATTGAAGAATCCAGTTTTTAAAAAGTTGTGCTGTTGCTACACATCTACAACCAGGACTCTTTTCTGGGTCCCATAAGACCCACAATGCATTCAGAGGACTGAATTGCAGCATGCTTTGCACTCCTGGCCTTCTCTCCCTTTCTACAGAAACTTTAGGTCATGAAGTGACAATGAAAGCAAGGCAGTGGGTCCTTCTATTTCTTAACCTGCTTATTTTACTTTTCCAGTTGAGGTCAGTGTGTGTTTTTCTGTAAGCTGTAGTTTTGAATATCTACTGTACTTAGTTATAAAGACATACTCTTTCATTTGTCAATTTACTGGGCGTAACATTATCTCATTTGTCTTCAGCCCTTGGATTGTCTCAGGATGTTGCAGGTGCAACTTTTATGGCAGCCGGAAGTTCAGCTCCTGAATTAGTGACTGCTTTCCTAGGTAAATATTGCACCTCCTATTTTTTTGCTAAACCCATGTGATTTTATCTATTTCAAGTCAACATTAACTTACCTGCTTACTATCTTGCTCATAGGTGTATTTATCACAAAGGGAGATATTGGCATTAGCACCATTCTTGGATCTGCAACTTATAATCTCCTGGGCATCTGTGCAGCCTGTGGCTTGCTATCTAATGTGGTATGTACAAAAACTCTTCAACAAAATGTATTGTCTTGACAAATTAAAGAACAGTTTATAGTCTAGAACAAACAAGGCACTAGTAATCTGTTCAATCAAGTTTATTAATAAGTAGAAAAACCAACATGTATTCAATTTTAGATTAACCCACAAATAGCTCTAGGTCAAATTTATGAAAATCAGAGGTTTAGAAACAATTTTCCTTAAAGTTCCTTTTTCTCTAGGCAATATGCAAAAGATATTTAGCCACAAATATACAATTTTATTACATTAAGCATGTACTTGAAGTTGCAGTGTAATGGAAACAAAATTATCATTTTATAGGTTTCAACGCTATCATGCTGGCCCCTATTCAGAGACTGTGCGGCATATGCGATTAGTGTAGCAGCAGTTCTTGGCATAATATTTGACAACAAAGTGTACTGGTAAGCTTGAAAGAATTACCACTATTATGTAAAACACAATTACAGAGAAAATTTCATGAAATTCTAATGGTTTAGTAACTTCAAATGTCTGCCACTTTCGCACCCTTTCTTTCCAGTGGTTTTTGGGCTAAAGTTCCTCATCACAATTGCTGGCTGCACTTTTCTCCCTTCTTTGCATTTTTTAGTGGTCAGTCTCCTTTCTGTCTCCTTAGTCACTGGATATTATCATCCCTCTTTCTCCCACTGACTGACCAGGAAGTCTCCCAAGTGTTGTTGTCCATTCAAGTACTAACAGTTGGCTTTTTCATCTATTGGGTTATTGCTCACCTTGCTTAGAAGTGGTTATGGTCACAAGATTGGAGATGGGGATGGAGAAAGCAAATGCCCTTTTGAATTCTTTCATCTTTCTCTCTGTTCATTTAGAAAGAGGAACTAGAGCCTTCTTCCTCACAGAATAACAAATATTTAGGTTTTAATGTTAAAAATTACTTGTTTTTAACTTATCTCCCTATGCTTTGCTGTTCCGAGAAAATAAAAGGGAGTGACTTAGTAGACAGATAACTTTTTCAACTGATATGCACCAAGTACCTATTAGGTATTTACCACTACAATGACAATCATAAGGGGAAAAAGAAATGTCACAGGTGGCTCCCCTCTGCAGTACAACTAATTTAGCAGTGCTGCATAATCCCTGCTATCAAAAACCTTAAAATCTAGTAGGGAGCAAAATCTCTAAATGAATCATTCTGGAACTCGTCTTCCCCCCAAAGAAAAACCATGGGTTACAGACGGGGTATTTCTCTGCTATCTGTAAGGGGACAATGACTGTGAGAGTACCCCTCCACTACGGCAATCAAGAGCTCTGTGCTTCTAGCTGTAGCAATTTACTAGCTATAAAGGGTAAGGGCAAGATTCAAATGTGATGGTATTAGCTAATCACAATTCTTTAAATAGGAAACCAGTGGAGGAAAAAAAAAGTTTTCAGTGCTTATGGTATAATTTTATGTTTGAGAATATCTTGTTTTCTTATTTAGTTAATATTATATATATATTAAAAAAACTGTATAGGAAACTGAAAACCCCAAAGCAAGCCTAACATATTCCAAATTTTTACACAAAATTGCTACACTATAAAATTTGAAGAGACAGTTAAAATTAACACATGCTATATTCTCTTATAATTATGTATTTTGGGGAATGGATTCTGCCAATGAACTGAGATGAAGACTACCCATTACTATCCATTAGTTTCACTTTAATTTTGAAAATCTTAATCATTATTTTCAAAGTATTTTTATGCCCGCCATCTTAAAGGAATCTATAAATGAAGATGAGTTTCAAAACCTTGTTTTTTTAAATATGGAAGAGTCAAGCTCCTATCAATTTATAATAATGCTGTAACACATCTACACCAAAACATACCTAAAAATATTTGATTATTCTAATGCTGCATTAAAAATTATGCTGCTTAAAAGCTATTCTCAAATAATTTTATTTTTTTATTTAAAAACACAAATTTCTCTAATTTATAGGTATGAAGGAACTCTACTACTTTTGATATATGGATTATATGTTCTGGTGCTGTGTTTTGACATTAAAATTAGCCAATATATTATAAAGAAATGCAGTCCCTGCTGTACCTGTCTTGCCAAAGCTATGGAGGATAGAAGCGAACATCAACTACTAATGGGATGGGAAGATGAGGGTCGGCCATTCATCCGTCGACCATCCAGAAATGATAGTGGAATATTTTATGAGGATTCCGGTTACTCCCAGCTTTCTATAAGTTTACATGGTCTTAATCAGGTTTCTGAAGGTAAAAACCACATCCTGTCCACTACTAAGTCTATTCACTAGTAATTTCATTTAATTGAGCAAATATATATATTCGTATTATATAAAAGACATTGGAGACTCAGAGATGCAGAGACAGTCCATATCCTTATGAAGCTTCCAATACCAAAGGGTGGGAGGGGGGGTTGACTAAAATATGAGGATTTATATATTTAGAGAAAGAAACAAAGTATAACTGTGTTTCCTAAAAGGGATAGATTGTGAGCAGGAAGATTAGAACATGGGATAAAAGACACAGCTGTCTATAAGAGGCTAATAAACAGCTGATGTGTTTAAGAGGTGCCTTGTCAGAGAGAAGGCAGTGGGAATGAATAGACATAAGCCAATTCAGAGAAAGCATCACAAAGACCGGGCAATTAAAAGACTACACGGGCATAAAAGGGCGCAGAGATAATTCTTAAACTTTGATCAGAAATGACTAAGAAAAGGGAACACTGCTTATAAAAACTAGGAATTTAGGAGAAAGGATTGGTGAGAAGAAGAAAGGAGTTGAGTTTGAAACATGTAATTTGAAGCAATAGGAAACCATTTAGGTAAATATGTTTGGTAGAAAGTCAAATTCATCTATGACTAGAAATATCAATTTAGAGGTTACTTTTATATAAAATGGTTGTATAAAACAGATTCTAAATTTAGTTTAGTACATTAGGAAGGGGATTTATCCTAATTTACTACCTACAAAATATAAAAACACGACTCTTCCCCTTCATATAAAAATTAGTTTCTAGTCTTTCAGGTATAAGAGTTATTCATCTCTAAGTTAAATTTTATAACAAGAAGCTGAAAAGAATCAGTCCAAATTTTACTATTTACACTAAAATGATACCTAATTTTACTTAATGGCTCATTTGCTGAGGCTTGGCAAATTTTACTAGTTATTTTACTAGCATTAGTTGTAATTTGATCAAATAAATGGGTATATTATTCTCTAAATGCCATACAAATTTTTAAACTATTTTAAAGTGAATTCCCATTTTATCCAATATGCTATTATCTTCCATTAACTTCATGAGACAAATTGAATAAAGAAACATACTCAAGTTTATACATTACACGTAGATTCTATACTAGTTCATATTTTCTTAAGGTTGTTTCTAAGACTGGTGATGAATTGTAAATTAATGAAAAAAGCCCCTCAAAATAACTTACAATTAGAATTAGAATGGAATATTCAACTTAATAAAAATTATTTTATAATCCCTAAGTATACATTATAAGATACATAGGGCAGGCTGTGGCTTCATCAATATTGGGCCGTGGAGACAACCATCCCATAAGAAAAAACAAATTACTCAAGGTCACCCACATTGTAGAAAACAAAAAGATGTCCAACTGACATTCCACAAACATCATCTCTAACATATTTAATGAATGACCCAAGACATTTTGATGAAGGCCCAAATTCAAGAAATGCTGAGAATCACATTTTACACTGTTTGCCCTAAAGTCTCAATTAGCTTCTTTTTCCAGCAATATCAGTAATGAGGTACTCAAATGTTTTAAATAGCCTCTTAAAACTGATACAGCTAATTTATTTCAATATAGCTTTCTAAATGGACATTTCTAACATAATTGGCTATTTAAGAAATTCAGAATCATTTTTTTCTCAACAGATCCACCAAGTGTTTTCAACGTGCCTGAAGCAGATTTGAAAAGAATTTTATGGGTATTATCCCTTCCTATTATTACATTACTTTTTCTAACCACACCAGACTGTAGAAGAAAATTTTGGAAAAATTATTTTGTGATAACCTTTTTTATGTCGGCACTTTGGATATCTGCATTTACATATATCCTTGTTTGGATGGTCACCATAACTGGTATGTATCTTGAACACAAAAGCACAATTTAAAAAGAAAACAATCAGTTTCACATAAGAACTCCATACATTCATTAAGGTAGTCTAGCTAAGGAGCAAATTTCTTTTCTAGCAAAGAGTAAATATGCTATTTACCAAAAAATTCAATATTAATATACCAATCACCCAGATTTTGTGAGTTCATATTCCATATCAACCATATTCTCAAAATTATACAGTATGAGTTAAGGGAATCATCTCATAAATGAAATAAATTCACAGGATGTCTGTTAGACTAACATAACTATATTAAGTTCAATCACCTAACAGAAAACATAGCAAGATGGCAATGTTTGGGGAAAACAATGATGTTCACAGTTTAACGGGAATACATTTTATTTATTTTTGCCATTGATTTTTAGAGAGAGTGAAAGGGTGGGAAGGATGGGGGAGGGAGGGAGATAGAGAGATAACAGAGATGAGAGAGAGAGAGAGAGAGAGAGAGAGGGAGAGAGAGAGAGAAAGAGAGGTACATGGATATGAGACACACATTGACTGGATGCCTCCCTCTTGTGCCCCAACCCGGCCAGGGATATAACGGGCAACTCAGATACACGCCCTTCAGTGCAAGGGCCAACACTCTAATCACTGACCCACACCTAGCAGGGCTTTTATTTTGCTTTTTGACATGGCAATATAATTATATTATGAAATAAGTAAAAAGGATCTAAAATAAAGTTTCATTTTAGGTTTCTACTATTTTTACAACTAAAATTTAACTATTACTGCTTGGCCATAATCAGCTCTAATTCCATAGAATTCCTAGTCCAAAAGGAAAAACTAAATATAAATGTAAAACAAAAACTTCAGTAATTTTCCCCCAAAGGTGAACCTGAATGAATTAGTATGAGAGGTGAGCAAACTACCTCCTGAGTGTCCAAAGCACTGGTCTTCTGTTTTTTGCTAATCAGGTCATTCATTTACATATCATCTATGGATGTTTTCACTACTACATTAGCGGAGCCAAATAACTGCCTGCAAAGCCTAACATAATTACTATCTGGCTCTTTACAAAAAAAAAAAAAAAACACACTTGCCGACTTTTTCCAATTTAATATATAACTTAGAAATGTATGCTAGCAAAAAAAACAAAATGTTTTCTTTTTTTAAAGAGGAAAATAAAATAATTCAATTAGCTTGCATATTAGATCTCTCCATACTTTCTCAGCCAGTACACATTTGACATTGGGAAAGCAGGAAAAGAGCAAAATCAAGTAACAGATCATAGAACACCCCCAAGATGTTATTTATATGTTATTTATGTACATAAGAACTCTGGCCAACCATAACAAAAATTAACAATCAAGTCCAATATCAATATATATAAGCATGCAATAAACAGCTACGTAAAGGTTTTTTAAAATTAATATTTGAAAGGAAGAGTGATTCTAAAGCAAGTGTTCAATTATAACAATAAAAGAGCAGTTAAATGTACTTTTTTTAATTTCCCATTGGACCTGTTTCCTAGAATAAATACATTACTGAAAAATGTTGAACGGACATCAAATTTAACAGAAGTATTAATAAATTAGGACTATAATGTTAGAAAAACTCAAGAAGAACCCTATTTTGTTTTCTTCAGATTTAGGATATTTCTCAAAGAAAACACTAAATTGAGGTATATCACTAAAGTAGGAGTTAAAAATGTATACCATATTAACACATTTATATTTAAAAAATAGCTATAAACAATTTGCTTAACACTGAACACTTTAAGAAAAAAGTTTTTAATAAGAAAAAGGGGACCAATATTATTAGCATACATTAAGCAACAGCCTCGATGCTATAATAGTGATGACATCCAAAACTTCTGTAAGCATAGCAAGGAGGGGAACTGCTCCTTGGTAGAATTTTGTCTATTAAATATCTGTCTTTAAAAATCTGTCCTACCTGCCCTGGAGCACTACTTCTTACAGCAAAAGGTTGCAGGTTCAATTCCTGGTCAGGGCACATAACTAGGGTTTTGGTTGCACTTAAGGCAACCAATTGCTGTTTCTCTCTCACATCTATGTTTCTCTCTCTCTAAAATCAATAAAAACATATCCTTGGGTAAGTATTTAAAAGAAAAAATCTGTACTACCCATGTTACCCCATTTACCAATCTTAGTCATTTTGCTAACTAAAACCTAAGTATATACATACTGCCTCTGTAATCTAAATATGCCTATTTTCTTTTCATTCAGGAAGGAAATACGTATCTGAAATATCTGCAGAAGATGGTTACTGAACCTGTAAAATTTGTAACTTACAATATCTATATTTATTACAGGGGAAACATTAGAAATTCCAGATACAATAATGGGCCTTACTTTATTAGCAGCAGGAACAAGCATACCAGACACGATTGCAAGTGTGCTGGTTGCAAGAAAAGGTAAGAATTAGGTCCATCCAGCTGCAATGCTCATTCTTCAAGTCTAGCTGAACTACACTAGGCAAAGTTGCCTTTAAATCTATTTATTTCTTCAGTAACATACTTGAAGGAAAAAAGGAGTAACTCAAGAGGAAGGATTTACTACTTAATAACATTAACTTCACTAAATCTAATTCCCCGAATAAAACACATCTGAAATGTGTACTAAACTGTAATTAAACATGTTAAATTAGAATGAAAAGCAACAAGTAATCTACACCTTATTGAAAAATGCTTTAATAAAGATAATTAGATAAATAAATGTTAATACTTTAAATACTAACCTCCCCAAATTAAAAAATACAAATTCAGTAAGACTTTTGCTCTAATACAATTTTCCAAAACCAACAAACAAAAAAGTATCCAGTGTCTTTTCTTATGAAGCTTATTATTAAAATACAGTACTGGTATGCACATTTTAACACCATGCTTTTTTTTTGCAGGCAAAGGAGATATGGCTATGTCTAACATCGTGGGATCCAATGTGTTTGATATGCTGTGCCTAGGTGTTCCATGGTTGATTAAAACTGTATTTATAAGTACATCAGCTCCTGTAGAAGTGAACAGCAGAGGACTAACTTATGTAACTATCTCTCTCAACATTTCAATTATTTTTCTTTTTTTAGCAGTTCACTTCAATGGCTGGAAACTAGACAGAAAGTTGGGAATAGTCTGTCTATTATTGTACTTGGGACTTGCCACATTATCAGTTCTATATGAACTAGGAATTATTGGAAATAAAATAAGGGGCTGTGGAGATTAATATTAATAGGTGAAAAATGTGAATGATAGGGAGGGGCAGAGAAACTCCATTTCTTCATTTAAGTAAAATAAAAAATATCCTAAACTTTAGACTCTAAAACTTACAATAATTCTTTACTGAAGAAAAGTAATTTAAACCAACCAAAATCATATCCTAATTTGTCTGAGTACTTTCTTATCAAGAACAATTACATATAGATAACAGAAGTTTTGGGGGGGGGAAAATCTATGTTTTAACTTACAATAAATAAGCTGATAAAAGCTGGAGAAACTTGAACAAACCTCACTATGTAGTACTGAAAATAACATGAAAATGGCTTATTTCATTAAAAACAGTATAACCATTCATTTAAACTGAATGACCAGATTTGCTGTCTTTAAAAACCCAAACTTGAGATAACAAAAATCACAGTATATTTAACACTATACTGTTAAAAGCTGGTGGGAGTTTTAAAAGTTCATTTTTACAACATTTGAAAGCATACAGTATTACTTTAAAATTAATTTTACTAGGAGATTCAGCAAAACAGATGTAAAAATGTTCCAACCGTGGTTTGAAATTATGCATTACGATCCAAGCGAACATCAATTTCTCTACCACTGATTTTTATGCCATTCATTATTCTGCAGGCTTTCTCAGCAGATTCTGGGGAGTCAAATCTGACTGTTCCACAGCCTTTTGACTTTCCATTCTCCATTTTTATTTCTGCAAACATTACATGACCTGTAAAAGAAAAATTATAGAATTACTCGTCAATTAAAACAGGTTCCATATTTAACTACGCAGGTTTGAAAATTTTCATTACCAATGCAGTATGTAACTTGACTAGAAACATTAATGATTTTAAAATAACATATGTAAGCATTATTCACATCACTTTATATTCTGAATATAATGGAACTCACATAAAGTAATAAATATATAGATTAGAATATGAAAAATTGGACTAAAATAAATTTGCTTAGAATTTAATATTTTATTAAAACAAAAAATTAATTTTTATGTTAAATCCTTAGTTTTGGAAGCAAAATTTATAGCAATAAAGCAAGCTAGCACAAATTGCCACCAAGTCACTATGCCCAATGACAACCACAAATTTATTTTTTAAAAATATATTTTTATTGATTTCAGAAAGGAAGGGAGGGGGAGAAATAGAAATATCAATGAGAAAGAATCATTGAACAGCTGCCTCCTGCAGGTCCCCTACTGGGTCTGAGCCCACAATCTGGGCATGTGCCCTGACCAGGAATCAAACAGTGACCTCCTAGTTCATAGGCCGATGCTCAATCACTGAGCCATGCTGGTTGGGTGACAAATGACAAAGTTTAAGAAAACTATTTAGATAAAATTATTGCTTTTTGCCCAATCTCCTTTCCCTTACACTTTATCCTCCATTTCAACTTTTTGATCCCTGAAAATAATAGCAACTGCCCAGAAATTTAATTTTTACCAGGTCACGAAGGGCCCCGCTAACTGCTTTCCAACCACAGCGGCAAAGTAATTTACTCAATATCACATTCTGAACTCCAAGTGTAAGAATGGCACCAAATATATATAGAAATAGGCATAGAAGAGACACTGCAGATTTAAATCAATAAAGGTAAAAACAGTTAATGATAAGAGCACAAAGAAGAACCTCAGAGGAGTTTCCAGAAAGAGAAAGAAAACTAGACAATTATTCCTGACTCGAGAGTCTGGAATTTGAAGTAAATTATCATTTATCAAAATACAAAGTGGCCATAAAGATCTATCATCCAAACTAGAACACTAGAAAGAGTATATAACATATGTAAAGTGAGACTATCCCCAAGCAACCTGGGATGTATGATCACTCGACCCACAAAGACTTAAGTGTGATGTGTGTGACTACTTACCATATTTCCCTCCCCTGATTACTGTAGTTGCCAGATCTCTATGGGCTAATTTTAGTCTGGCAACAAAATCAGAGCCAGACATATTTAATTCAGAGTTAGTTCTGTAAAAGGGGAAGAAGGAGGGAGGTAAAAGCAAAGGGCTTAACAAAAAATTCCAGAAGCTCTTTTCAGGCAATGGGAACTTTTAATCTCAATGCACCAGTAAGGTTTGTGGGTTTTTTGTTGTTGTTGTTGTTTTAATATTGATCTGATTGATTCTTATCTGGAACATCCTGGAGTACTTTCCTACTGTTTTTTCATCCACCCCCCACCCCATACGATAACTTTATTTTTTAAAACTGATAGGCAATTACTCATTCACTCAAAACTAATTAAGTGATCCATGTTAATAAATGTCACGTTGAGCCCAAATCATGATTTTTGTAAACCAGAGCAGGAAGTCTTCAACTGTGTTCTAAAAGTTATAAATCAGACTAATCCTTTGAGAAATTATAATGGTTAAAATATACCCAAACAATATTTAACCTATAACTGGTTAAAAATATATACACATAAAAATAAACATACAGAGAGAGAAATCACATTTTCTAATAAATATCATAAAATGAAACTGGAAAATTTATTTTTAAAAACTTTAACATAGATACAAAGCAATTTTCAGAGTCCTCTTAATATCTTGAATGCTGGGACCTGGAAGAAAGCGACTTTAATTAAAGAAGTATACGTTGGTAAATGGCAGCACTTTACACTGGTTTTAAAGAGAACTACTTAAAACAAAAATTTTTATTTTTTATGTTAAATACTCAGTAGATTAATTTTCTAGGGCTGTGGTTGGCAAACTGCGGCTCTCGAGCCACATGCAGCTCTTTGACCCCTTGAGTGTGGCTCTTCCACAAAATACCATGGCCTGGGCGAGTCTATTTTGAAGAAGTGGCATTAGAAGAAGTTTAAGTTTAAAAAATTTGGCTCTCAAAAGAAATTTCAATGGTTGAACTGTTGATATTTGGTTCTGTTGACTGATGAGTTTGCCAACCACTGTTTTAGGGCTTTTACAATTAAAAGTTTGTCATCATTCTAATTTTACCTAAAAATATAGGGTTTTTTTTTCTTAATATAAGTATCCCACCATATGTTCATTCAAGCACGAAATATTTAAAACTTCAAAGGAAAATATATAATTATCTCTTGCAAAATCTGTCTCAATATTTCAGGACAAGTTCCACCCATCTCCCCCTACTTAAATTGTTTCTTGGTTTAGTGATCATCACTCAGATTCCCAAACTGCTGACCTTATAAAGTTGGTCTCTTAGTAAAGGTACTTGAAACTTGGTTTAGAGCAGTGGTTCTCAACCTTCTTAATGCCGCAACCCTTTAATACAGAAGCGGTCCAACTGCTAGCAGGGTTGCCTAAGACCATCGGAAAACACTGTATTTACAATACGATTCATTAACAGTAGCAAAATTACAGTTATGAAGTAGCAAGGAAAATAATTTTATGGTTGGGGTCACACAACATGAGGAACTGCATTAGGAAGGTTAAAAACCACTGGTTTAGAGATTAAACACCCAAACTGCTGATCTCACATGGTCTCTTAGCAAAGGTACTTGACATTCAGGCTATCTAGAAAGTGGCCTATAGATACTTGTTTCATCGACAGACTGTTCCATAAATCCCAGTAGGCACAGAACTATAAAGAACTGTCTGCTAAGTTTCCCCATAAAAACATCAACTAAGATATTTTCTTGTCTTAAGATAAATATTTAAGGAGAAAAAAATTAGTTTCAAATAACTGATTAGAATTAGACCTCTCTGGCTTTTACATTCTCTGAGGACTTCCTTTAGTAACTTAAATATCTACAAATATCTTGTATGATTCCAAGAAAAACAAAAACAGGACTATTTTAGCAAATGTATAAAACAAAATAGTATGCAATGAGAAATTGGTTTCACAGAATAATCAAATGTTTGCTGTTACATTTTTACTAGTTATAAAAATGACTTATCCTTTAGTAAAAGAAAACTTTCTACTTCATTTAACCTAGCCAAATAATTTCTTGTGGCGTATAGTTTAGGCAATGTTTATGTAAAGAAGAGAAGCATATTTAAAAGTAGACCAAATTAAGCATAAATACATGATTCAATGAAATCTATGTCTAAAGCAAAACTGTAATGTAACATAACCACAGGAGAAAAAAATAAGTAAAATCAGATATTCTACAAGAAATAATCATGACGTAAGATACCCAAAAAACCACAAAGTTTTTACTGTTTCTTTACAAATAAAGAGCCTACATCAATAAATGTTCCTCATATATTATTTTTACTGTTGAGTTCTTCTAGAATCAAAGTCCACAATTCATGCTTTTAGTAAATAAAATCTATCACGTCCCCATTTCCTATGCAATTAATAAGCATACTCAGGTAAAAAACTACATAATGGAAATTTGTGGGGGGAAAAACTATATTTGTTTATATAGTTTGTAACAGTATTAACTAAGAATGGGCACTGCAATTCTAAAATGTCTTGGCACTGCATCAAACTAAGCCGGAAGGCCAGAGTAGTTAAAGGGTATAGGAAAAAACAGGACAAATTTAAGACTATGCCCATTTGACTTCATTAGCACAACCTGAACTAATAATGGGGTCCAACTCTGAATGGGTCAATTAATAAATTTAAAATGTCACTGATGAATTATATAAGGCAGGATAAAAGAGACCTATTTTACTATACTCAGTTATTACTCACTTTTTTATATTTGGGAATATGTGAACACCTTTTTTCCTGAATTATAAAGGCTGAGGAAATGTTGTATTGAGGGCAATATGACCCAAAGTACATTTCTTAGCCTTTTAATTGCTCCATCGAGGGCAATTAACCACTACAGAAATTTAATAAGCAGAGGGACTAGTAGTGTGCCATTTACTGGCAGATGATGTCGGGGAGATACATGGAATACCACTACATGCTTACTAGGAAGCAACCAGAAGAATATACGTATGTGCCTTGGGCTCAGAGGGGGGGGGAAAAACCTGCCTTTTACTGCAACAATCTATTGCTGGCATACAGCAGGTTACAAAGAACCTTGCCATAGTAAGAAAAAAAAGCTCTTTAAGATTTAAAAACAAAGTCATGTAGCAGAAAAATGGATGGTTCAGTTCATACAAGCCAGGTCATTTCCACAACTGTCGATAAATGGACACTTAATTCTGAATTACTATATAACTTAGTTTTGTTCCCATCAATGCAATTCAAGATTAAAAACAGAAAGATGGTAGGAAATTATTTAAGTATGGTATTATCTTAATATAAATCCAAAAGTCAGGTTTTACAATTAGAATTGAGAAGAAAAATAAAAATCACTGTTCTCATGATATAACTATAACTCCCTAATTTTAGTTAAAACATAGGTTTAGGCCTATATTCGCTGTATAAGACTACCCCCCACTTCCGAGGCAACACCAGTTCTTTTTTTAATAGACCGCCTCTCTGACTCTGGCCTCTCTGACTCTGGCCAATCTTTTTACTAGAACACAGTGCACTGTGTTCTAGTAAAAAGCCTGCTCAGATTGGCCAGAGTGCACTGTGTTCTAGTAAAAAGCCTGCTCAGATTGGCCAGAGTGCACTGTGTTCTAGTAAAAAGCCTGCTCAGATTGGCCAGAGTGCACTGTGTTCTAGTAAAAAGCCTGCTCAGATTGGCCAGAGTCGGAGAGGCGGTCTATTAAAAAAAGAACTGGTGTTGCCTCGGAAGTGGGGGGTAGTCTTATACAGCGAATATAGACCTAAACCTATGTTTTAACTGTAAAATTAGGGGGTCTTCTTATACACCGGAAAATACGGTACTATTTTTTCCTTTCATAAAATGTGTTTTAATTGATGTCCTTTGGTCAAAACAATACCACTTTCAGGTAGAAGCCCACCAAAAAAACTTTATTTGCTTCAAGCCTTGCTCATACCTGACATCAAAGGAAATCTGCCTAAATAGGATAAAGAGTAGTCAACTCAATATTGGTCAGATTTTGATTATTTGTCTGCTCCACTTTGTTCTTTATCTTGTTTCATTTTTACTTTTTAAAAATATATTCTTATTGATTTCAGAGAGGAAGGGAGATGGATAGAAACATAAATGATGAGAGAATCACTGATGGGCTGTCTCCTGTACTCCCCCTACTGAGGATCGAGCCTGCAACCCAGGCATGTGCCCTTAACTGGAATCGAACCAGAGATCCTTCAGTCCACAGTCTGACACACTGAGCCAAACCAGCCTAAGGCTCATTTCTATTTTTTTAAATAATGCCATATCTCACTTGGAATTTTTTTTTTCATTCAAATTACAACTGAGATTATCTATACCTACTGCCATTGCTCCTCATTTGATATACTTCAGTTAAGCCCCTACCCAGTATGTTCATTCCTCTGTAATCTATGAGACTCATGGCCAGATGTTGCTTACTCATTCTGGTAGGTCTCTTACTCCTGCAAAGACTACCAGCACCTCAAAACAACTTCATAAGTCTGCCTTCTCTTAGTGGGGACTATTTATTAGTTGACTCATTTTCAACAATTTTTCTTTATTAAAAAAGAAGTTTAGTTTCTCTTCTTTAAATAAACTATTTTTAAAAGATGATAAAAAATGAGGCCGAAAGTACATCCTAAATGGACTCAAACTGAATATTTTTTGAAGGTGAAAATAATTCATTATTTTGTTTGCCTTTTCAAATACTAATTATAACAAACTGCCAAAATATAGTATTAGATTTAATAAATGAGTAACTAACTAAATAGATGAAGATTTGCTCAAAATATTTAACTCACTTAAATATATATATTTTTTTACTAAACCATGTCATCTTCTATAGACATAATGAACATATTAAGTTGTATAGATAGTATCATTATATTCAAGAGCCTCTACCTAGGAGGAAGAAAACATGTGAACAGATTATTACAGAAGTTAGGTATAAAGTACTCCGAGAACACCCTATATAATAAAAGGCTAATATGCTAATAGACTGAATGTGGAACAACCAAACAATTGGTGGCTATGACATGCACTGACCACCAGGGGACAGGCAAGAAACATGGTGTCAAGAGCAAGTGGCAGAGCACGAAACATGGGTGGGCTGCAGTGGGATGATGGAGCAGGTGAGCAGGGGTGCCAGACCAAGGTGGGGCACCAGTTGCTGTCATGGGGCGAGCCTCTGGTGGTTACTGAAAATTCTTTGCTCCCGAGTGCCATGGTCCTGCCAGGTGCTCACACCTGCTGCCAGCATTGGAGCCATCACTTGCACCTGCTGCTGGCACTGGCCCTGATTACGGACCCCGTCCTTAGGTGCAAGTGGTGGCTGCTGGCCCCGATTGCCCCTCAGGGCTTTTCCACCTACCCCTGCTCCTGAGCTGCAATCGGGGCCAGCAACCGCCTCTCACACCCACTGCAAGCGCCAGTGCCAGAGCAGCTGCTCACACCCGCTGCTGGCGCTAGTCCCAATTGCTTGGTGCCATTAGCAGGTGCTAGTAGTAGCTGCAGTCCCCAATCACCCTAGAGGGCTTCTCCACCTCCCCCTCTTCTGAGGAGTGATCAGGGCAGCAGTGGCCACTTGCACCGCTGATGGCGCTGGCCCCACTCACACCCACTGCTGGCACTAGCCCCAATCACTCTGCACCATCAGCAGTGTGAGTGAGGCCAGAGCTGGTAGCACATGGGAGCGGGGCTGCAAGCAGAGAGACCAGGGGCTGAGGTAGGAGGGGCCAGGCAGGGGCACAGAGGATGGGCCAAGACCCGGCCCTATGCCCACCGCAGCCTCATGGCCCCTAGTAATAGATAATAGATTCCACAGTGAGCAAATTGTTCATAAGTGATCTATCACTTTGTGATAAGTGGCTACACAGGCTACTTTCATGGGAGAGTATTAAATTCATCCCCTTCAAGATCTCAAAAATTATTGTAATATTTCAAACACTCTTAACTTTTCATTAACTCTCAAAGGCTGAATATACCATGTTTAGCCCCTTTTCATCATTATACGCCAACTATATAGCTTACTATTGTGATTACAGTCTCTAAGACACCACCCAATAACAGAAAAATGCTAGCAGAAAATGTTACTTTGTTCCACTCACACTAATTCTCTCTCTCTCTCTCTCTCTCTCTCTCTCTCTCTCTCTCTCTCTCACACACACACACACACACACACACACACACACACACACACAAAAGGTCCTCTTTTAAAAGTACTAAACCATGTCATCTTCTATAGACCTAATGAACATATTAAGTTGTATAGATAGTATCATTATATCCAAGAACAGTTTATAAAAGAATTAGAAGGGCCACTAGAATATACCTATGTCTAAGGAGATCCAGACAATGGGTTCTATGCTATTAGTTAAGTAGGCAATAAGTTATGTAGAATGGGTCATCTATTAACTTCATATCATTTAAATGTCACAGCATTTCATTGGGTCATGCTGAGAATGTACTGTGATATACTATAAATAAGAAAATAAATATGCCATTTATTAGTATTTCCCCAATAAAAAATCTTTTTAATGTGAACAATCATGATATAGGAACCTTTTAATAATCAGGTATTAAACCAAGCATTTTCTTTATCCACAGAAGACAATGACAAGCTCTACTCTAAATCATAGTATTTAGTAGTTATTTTCACTACTCTAAGTCAGAGTAAAGCAAAATAATTTATTTGAATTGAAAGTAGACTATCCAAGAGTAAGTATCTGAACAGGTAAAAGTCTAAACACAGTTTTTAAAAGTTTAAAATCACCTTTTCCTCCATAATCACTATCAACATACTGCAGTTATTGGCATACTTACCACACTGACTGAATTTTTCTTTTAGTTTCTGCCAAGTCAAGTCAAAAGGCAGCTAGAATGAAAAAAGGTATTAGTAACAGATATACATGGCACAAAATAATTTTAAGTATACTTTATATTTAGTTGCTTACATTTCTGACAAATATCTGGTTGCCTTTGGAGCCTATTCTGTCTCTCATTCCGCTTCCCATGGGACCCGATAAGAATCCTCGATCCATATCGATGCTTCTTTCCAGTATAGCTCCTATACCTGGTCCCATTCTATCAAAGCTGGAGCTCATCCGATCCAGTCCCATCCCCATTCCTCCAGTCACACTGTTCATGCCACCCATTCCACCACCTGGATTTTCAGGAAGGGATGAGAGGATTTGGAAGTTTGGTGTTTTTATTTTAAAATCAGAAGAAGGAAGAGGAAAAAAGAGAAGAGGAGGGAAAGAATCATTTTTGAGAAAGAAAAGAAGAGAAAAATTAATTTATGTAATTAGATAATATGTAAGCATAAAATTATTTTCATACACACAATATAAGAATCTTCCAAGGAACAGAATTTAATTTGGCATACATTTGGTTAGTTGAATGTTAATGGCTAATTGAATTTCTTAATTTTAGCCAGTATATAATACATTATATACATATACTTCTATAAAGTTACTGTATACTGATCATAAAATTTATCAAATACGTTATATAGGTTTTCTACTGTTTACTTTATCCATTATGTTATAGTGTTTATCCTCATTTTTATTTAATAATGCATCAAGCTTAAAAATTGCTAGGCAAAAATAAATGGGGCAAATTCAAATCATTCACCTCCAACACACCAACTGTTACTCTCCTACATAATATTCTTTCCCTAGCTTCCCTTTCACCTCAGTTTCACATACAATTTCTCTTTCTGTATCAATCCAGTTTTCAATAACCATGGAAACACATAACTTTTAATCTCAGTGTTATACAAAACTTGAGGAGGTAGCAACAAAAAAATGAAATCATATCCCTTTAGCCAGAACTTGAGAATTTAGCTCAGAGCACATATGTACTTCATTCTATGTGTTGCATCCTCTTTAAATATCCTAGTCCTACTCATTCTTAAAACTTATCTTTTTCTCATACGTAAAATCCACATACATAGAAATTCTAAAAATTAACATCACCCTCAAGTTGTCTTTCAGTAGATAATAAATATAAAAGTAGCTAAAAAGCATAAACACTGAGGTGAAAACCAGAAGGTAGGGAAGTTATAATACCATTAATAGGAAAATAGCCAAGGCTGAAAGATGATGAAAAGAAGGAATAAAATGAGAAGCAAAGAACAATGGAAATAAGTATCGTCTGTGGACAGGATTTATGAATTCACTCACAGTTCAAATATACTGTGTTTCCCATTTGTGAGATTTTAATCAATTAAAGGAAGTCAATAAACTATGGAGAGCTCAGAGACACAATTCAATAAGCAACAGAGGTAAAAAACTAAGCCTTGTGTTTAGCCTTAAGATAAGGTGTAAAATGTTGTAGTGGAAACAGATGAAGAGATTCAGCACTCCCCAGTGTTTCAACTACTCTTGATTCTACCACAGGAAAGATTTAAGAGGAAAGGAAATATGCATCTCTTTCAACCTTATCCCTCAACTTCCGGAGGTCTCTCTCTAGAAGAGTTTTATGTGGGGAAATTCACCTGTGTCTTCCAAAAGACAAAAAAAGGTGTTCGCAGGTGAAATAAACTAGAAACCAATAGCAGTTGTAGAGAATCAGCAAGGAAACTAAGTTGGTGCAAAGGTAAAAGTTGTTTTTGACACATGGTCAGAGAAATCCCCAGTTGGAAAGGAGATTCTTGAGTTGGCTTATGGTTAACACATACTGTGGTGTTAGTTTAGAAATATCAAATAAGTAAAATTCAAAGTTACTTTAGAAATTTCAGTGATCAAATAGAAAAGGTCAGTAAGTATCAAAGTTTCTCTAAATTATAATAAGACATCAACATATAAAAACAAAGTATTACTATACTACAATAACTACTCTTGCAGTCATTTGCAAGCACACAAATATTACTGAATAAATTCTAGTAAAATTTAAACCTACTTATTCCAGATCCTACTGGACCCATGTTAGAAGCTCCTATTCTTCCTGCAAACCCTCCAATCATTGCACTGCCTAAACAAGGACGGAAAGATAACACACTAATTAATTTAAATAATCATACTTCAAAAGTCCCAAGGTACTATGCTCTCAGAAGATGTACAGTAAAAGTATAGTCTTCTATAAATAGGGTTCAAATGTCTAAGACAGTGAAAAAGAAAGCTAGTACATTAAAATCCATAAAGTATTTTTCTTCTAGCAATAAATTGTGTGAAATATTATAAATTTCCAATTTTTCACACGAAAAGGAGAAACATACTTTGAAAACTATAACCTGGGTAAAGAAAAGACGTATGCAGCCAGCCTACCAAGTCTACCAAAGGAATCTCCAAAGCCTCGATTTATTCCAATATCACCACGTCCAAAATCTCTCTCCATGCTACTAGTCATTGCACCACGGTATAGCTCTGAAAAAATCATGCAACAAATTAGCCCTTTTTCAAGTATATCAATAAACAGTAATCCACTGAAATTATAGTGACAGCAAAAGTGACAAATATAAAAAAGGTCTGTGATTTACCCAACTTACCTCACATGCCACATATATCTCGTTTCACTATGCCTGTCCCTATTACCAAGTGCTCACAAATGCCCTCTGAAGAAATCTATAGTACCCAACCCTAAGTATGGGGGAACATTTTTAAATATTAAGTTAAACAAAATGTAGCATATAAAACCCATTACATACATTTACCTACCTCCCATCCGGCCAACTCCTCCAAATCCTCCCATGCTATTCATTGCTTCCAGACCACCAAACCCAATTCCTATGGAATAAAGATAATTTTGAGATGTGGCTATCAGTTGTATAGCTGAAAGATACATCTGTAAAGTTAAGTCTCACCAGTAAGCTCTTCATCTACCCTACCTTGTGCACATCACCTTCTATATCCCTCACGTATGTACCAGGCTCAATTTTCTGCTATTAGCCTTTAGAAAGTGAGCCAACAATAAATCAAGACTTTTTTCCCTTGGAATTCTCAACACAGTTCCTTGTTTACTAAAAGTGGTGATGGGTACATACAAAAAACAAGTGCTTATACATACCTCCTCCAATTCTATTCATTCCTCCAAAACCTGGACCATCCATTCCCATACCTCAAATAAAATACACAGTATGTACTTCAGTAATCTTATTTTTATGACTGAAGAATGATATAATGTAATACAATAAAATAGATACCACTGGTTTAGACACAATGGAACACTAAGAGAAGCAGCAGGACATAGGTGGGATGGTATAAAGTGCTATGCCACAGCACATGTCTAGTCATGAGTCTTCAAAAAGGCTTCTTTGAATATTTATTAGACAATAAAACAAAATTCTCTGGTCACACTCTTAGAAAATAACTAGGACTAGATGTTTATTGTTTATTTTTGCAGAACAGACAAAAGATAACCCTATCACTGATCCCCCCTCCCTCACCCCTTCCACAAAACAAACACAGAAGTATCACTACAGCAAATTTAGACATCAGGTCAAACTCCGCTACACATGATAGCTAAGGGAGCAATAAGAAGTTAAAGAATAAAAATAATATGTGTTTAAGAGGTTGGAAGGTCTAACAGTAAGGAAGAAAATCTCCATCTGTTTGGATCAAAATGATTAGCATAACTATTCCCACAACTTAAAGTGTAGTTATAGCATCTCAATAAATAAATAAATTAATTAATTAATTAATTAAAAAAAAAATATATATATATATATATATATATATATATATATATATATATATATATATGAATCGGATCACACTTATTAGTCTATCAATTAAAATAGCAGTTCCCAAAGTATGGTCTGGGATCATGGAGGGCCCAATAGGTCAAAACTATTTCACTCATACTAAGATACTATTCGACTGTTTTACTCTCATTCTCATGAGTATAATTTGAAATTTTCCAAAAACCTCGACATGATATATGATAGTGTAACAAACTAAATGCAGAAAACAGCATAGCTGCCTTGCATTAAGCCCAACATTAAAGAGATGTACAAAAAGGTAAAACAATGCCCTCTTCTAATTCTTCTGTGTTGGAAAATATATCTTCCTCAAATGTATATTTATGGCCCTGGCCAGTGTGGCTCAGTTGGCTGGGTGTTGTCCCATGCACCAAGCGGTTGCTGGTTCAACTCCTAGTCAGGGAACATTCCTGGGAAGCGGGCTCAATCCCAGGTAGGGGGCATGGAGGAGGCAGTTGATCAATGTTTCCCTCTAGCATCATGGGTTTTTCCCTCTTTCCCTCTCCCTTTCCCTTATATATTTTAAATATTTTTAAAGTATATTTATGTTAAGATATGGATTTATTATTTTTAAATGAATTGATGTTTTAATTTCTCATATAGTAAATATTAATATAACTATATAATCAAAAGTACTTTGGAGTCCTCAAAAAATTTAAGAGTATAAAAGGGTTCTGAAACCAAAAAGTTTAAAAACCAATCTTCAAAAATAAACTGTAAGTTAGTTCAGGTGAAGAGCTGAATACTACATAAAAAACTACCTACCCAACTAGATATGCAAATTTAAACTGCTTATTATATGGTAGCCGTTCAGCCATTCCACCAATAATGTATATCCATGATATGCAAGGCACTATGTTGAACATTCACCTTCTGCCTTAAAACCATTTCAAAACTCCACAGTGCTAAAAGACCAGCTACAGTACAGCTGGCCTCAGAGAAAACCTCCTGACATTTGCCCATCCTCTTTTATGTTCTCTGCTCCCCAAATGTTTCACCCTTTTTCAAACTGTAGTGACATCCTAAATATCAACTATAGGCTTTAAACATTATTACAAACTAGTAGATGTAAGTTTTATGACCTAGCAAATGCATAATTTAAAAAGAAATAAAGCTAAAGTACTTACCAGTTGGACCTAAATTTCCCATTACACCACCTATGTTCAACTGGCTGGCACTAATAGGCTGTCCACCTGGGCCAAGTCCCATTCCAATGCCTCCAAGACCACCTGAAACACAAATATAAGAATATTATCAATCCATCTATGATTATTTGGTTGGTACTACATTTTTTTTAAAGAGCTATATGCCTGTAAATTTAAATGTAGTATCCCTAAAACTTGTAAATAAGACCAATGGTTCTTGTTTTCACTGGAATGCAGCACTGAATCCTCACTACAGTACTATCTATAATAATAAAAGGGTAATATGCAAATTGACCAAATGGCCAAAAAGAATGACTGTCCAGATGACACACACTAGAGCCAGGCCAGCCAAGGTGGTGCAACATGATTGGGGGGAGCGGGGGTGCCATTGTCCCACATCACCCCACAAAGGCAGGCCCAAGCTATCTGGCCAGCAATGCTGTGGCAGGTGGCTGGGGCCTCCCCCTGAGGGGGCGATGGATTGTGGGGCTCCCGGACTGTGAGAGGGCGCAGGCCAGGCTGAGAGACCCTCTCCTCCCGAGTGCACTAATTTTGTTCACCAGGCCAGCCTCTAATGAGAGGTATTTTAGGAAGCAGTGTAACTCATACCCCAATTAAAGGCATATGGAAAAGGAATAATAAAATATCAAGAGGATTTTGAATATTGTATCACCTTATATGTGGCATACATATCTAAAAATGAGACTTTCTCAAATTTGTAGAACCACTTAAGATCTAAGAATTCCTTTTTAAATGCCCCAACTAAAAATTATCATGAAAATATTGAATAAAGAAAATGTTTTATTACCTACTTTAATCTTTGACATAAATACATATTTATATTTACACTAGAAAACTGGTTAATGAAATTCATACAAGGGTAGGGTACCTAAGCCTGGCTGGCGATCAGGGCCTACCAGCTGCCAGCCAGGGCCTCCCTTTATTTTGCATCGCCCCCTGATGGTCAGCGCACATCATAATGAGCGATCTAACTCCCAGTTTCCCAGTCGAAGGCCAGAGGGGATACTTTGAATATTAGCCTTATATATAAACTACAGGCCCGGGGACGGGCAGGAGGGGTGTCCCTCAGCCCAGCTTGCACCCTCTCCAATCTGGGACCCTTCAAGGGATGTCCGACACACAATCCAGGACTGCTGGCTCCCAACTGCTCGCCTGCCTGCCTTCATGATTGCCCCTAACCGCTTCTGCCTGCCAGCCTGATCTCCCCCTAACCACTCCAATGCCAGCCTGTTTGCCCCTAACTTCCCTCCTCTGTTGGCCTGGTCACCCCTAAATGCCCTCCCCTGCAGGGTTGATCACCCCCAACTGCCTTCCCTTGCAGGCCTGTTGCCTCCTACCTGCCATCCCTTGCTGGCCATCTTGTGTCCACATGGGGGCAGGATCTTTGACCACATGGGGGTAGCCATATTGTGTATTGGAGTGATGGTCAATCTGCACACTACTCTTTGATTAGATAGGATAGAGGCCTGTTGAACAGTTTGGGGCCAGCTGGTTTGCCCTGAAGGGTGTCCCAGATCAGGGTAGGGGTTCCCTTGGGAAGTGGGTTAGCCTGAGCAAGAGGCCTGTGGTGGTTTGCAGGCCAGTCATGCCCCCTGGCAACCTAAGCAGAGGCCCTGGTATCTGGAATTTATTTATCTTCTACAATTGAAACTTTGTAGTCTGGAGCAGAGCCAAGCCTCATGCTCACTTGGTGGCGGTAGCCATTTCTGTTGGGGTTCATGTATCTTCTATAATTGAAACTGTAGCCTGGAGTGGAGGCCTGGGCTGGTCAGGGTGTTCGGAAAGTTTTGCCTCTTCCATTGCCGGGGGCAACCCTAGCCTCCTGCTCTTTCCAGCTCTGTGGCTGCCCCCATTTCTGTTTGGATTTGTTTACCTTCTATCTATGTTGTATCCTTGAATGGAGGCTTAGGCAAGGGCAGGTGGAAAGCTTGGCTTCTTCCATTGCTAATCTTCCTTCCTGCTCTCTGTGGCCATAGCCATCTTGATTGGGTTTATTTGCATTCTCGCTCTGATTGGCTGGTGGGTGTGGCTTGTGGGTGTAGCAGAGGTATGGTCAATTTGCACATTGCTCTTTTATTAGGTAGGATGGTACTTGTGTTTTCACATCTATTAATACTATCCATAAATGAGGAAATTTTTGAGACCTTAGTTTACTTCCACAATACCAGTTAGCTATGGGACTAAGACTAGAGTTTAAGTTTTCTGTTCCTAAATCCAATATTCTTTTTACTACTTTTTTTCAAAGAAAATAATTAAAGATAGAAGCAATTAATATTTAAATAGGAACTGTTTTATTCTATCTTTTTTGTTGTTAATCCTCACCCGAGGATATTTTTCCATTGACTTTTTTTACGGAGAGTAGAAGAGAGAGGGAAAGACAGAGAGAAATATTGATGTGAGAGAATCACACCAATCAATTGCCTGCTGCTAATGAGAAGCCTACAACCTAGGTATGAGTCCCTGACCATATTCAAGTCCAGTACCCTTTGGTCCTCAGGCCGACACTCTATTCACTGAGTCAAAGTGGCTAGAGCTATTTTATTCTACTTTTAAATTTCTTGCTAGCTAATGTAGCAATTAGGGGCTAAGAAAACCACATACTTTTTTTTAAAAGGTAGAGTACAGAAGCATGTGCTAAATTGGAAAGATCAATGTGACCTGGTCAAGAAAATCCTTTTTCAGCTTAGTCTCTTAAAATGGTCCAATTGAAAGCAACAGCACATCCCAAGGATCGGGCCTAAACCAGCAGTCGAATGTCCTTCTCACAATCTGGGACCACTGGCTCCTAACTGCCGACCTGCCTGCCTGCTTGATTGCCCCAACTACCCCTCCTGCTGGCCTGGCCACTCCCAACTGCCCCCTGGTGCCGGCATGGTCATCCCACACAGCCTGCTGGCTTGGTTGTTTGGTCGCCCCTCACTAACCCCCCCAGCCAGCCTAGTCACCCCAGGCAGCCTCTCCAGTCATCCGTTTGGTTGCAATGGTCACTTAGGTTTTTATTATTACAGATTAACTTATACAATACTGATGCCAATCCCATGAAATAGGTACTATTATTATCCTCATTTTATAGATGCTGTATTGAGACACATGTTAAGTATAGTACATTGTGGTTTTATAATTCTTTGGAAAACATTTTGATAATACTGATCAATGAGTACACTTTGAGAACCTATAAATCTACTTTGGGATATTTATCTTAAGGAAATAACCAAAAATATACCAAAGATTTGTATACAAAAGTGCATGAATTACTCTATTTAGGGAAAAAAGTTAGAACACCTAAATATATCTAACAGTGAAATAGTTATGAAGCATCCATATAATAGCCTATTATACATCTGATAAAAAATATTTGGGAAGAATTTTCAACATGGGATAATATTTATACTTTGTTAAACAAAACAAAAAATACAAAATTATTATATGGTAATTATCAACTATGTAAAAAATACACATAGAAGGAAAGACTAAAAAAGAATACCAAACAATGTAATAATGGAGGTTGCTTGTGGGTGGTAAAATTATAAAGAGGATTTATCCCCACTCATGTATACTAACTAATCAAATCTTTTAGTATATATTATTTTTACAATGAGGAAAAGCTACCAAAGAGAGAAAAAAATGGCAAATATTTATCTTCTCAGTCTTCCTAATCAATCATGCCAAACTATCTCCATAGTTCTAAACTAACTCCAAACTTTGGGCAGCTTGGAATATAGGTATGAAAAAACACACACAATTCTGCTTAGCACATAATGAAATTAAAAAACAATAGCCTGTATTGTTTCTAATGGCTTTTACTTACGAGGTAATTGCGGTGTTTTACTGTCATGTGAACGATAGTCTTCATGAGGGACAGACTTGTCATCCTATTTGCAAAAACAATAATTATAAGGTTACTATATAACGAAAATGATCTGTAACATATAGGATAGCAGATAAAAGATTTGAAAAATTTGGAGAGATGTATAGGAACTCACCATTTTCACATGCATAGGTCTATCAAACAAAAACTGCCCATTGAACATAGCTGTTGGTTCAGTTAAGGAAAGCCAGTTAAGACAACTATTAAAATTATACTTGAATACAAACACATTTTTAATAATCCTATTGAATCAGACTATCTTTAATATTTTACTTATTTGTATTAGTCTCTTCCATATACTCAAAAATTTCAATTCTTTGTTTTATAGTTTGATTTTATATATAAAATATAATATTTTAATTCAACCATTGAAAAAAAGAAAACAAGTCTTCATTTAAAGCAACTGTATTAATTTAAAAAAGATTGCATAACTGACAAGAGCATGTATACATAGTTAATTGTGGCAAGAAGAAAAAGTAGAAAAAGATTCATACCAGGCCTGTACAATATGGCTAATTCAAGTTTTAAGAGTGACTTTAGTACTTGGACATAGAAAAGGTTTTGCTTACTGGAGACTAAAGTCTAATACATATTTCTAAACCAGGAAACCTTAAATTCCAGGACTCCGAAAAAAATGGTATTAAGCTTCTTCAACCTTATTACATAATCCTAACATGTAAATTAGGATACAAATTGCTTGAACTGCTTCAATTGCTTGTTCAAAAGTGACTGTGCCCATTCCTCTGCTCTTGCCATCTTTGTCTTCTTTAATATCTGCCCGCTTTACAGTTCCAGCTATGCTGAACACTTCCTTTAGCTTCTTCCAACCAACTTTGAAGTCAAGCTTAATATAAAATCATATAAAGTTACGTACCTAATAAACCCCTCCCCATTTATAAATAATAAACAAATATTTTCTAAACTCTCAAAACTATAAAGAACTATAATTCTTCTTAAACAGTATGTCAACAATATTCAAATAAAAAGATCTTCAGTTGTTTAAAATTAGGTAAGCTACATCTATGTTGTTCCTTCGCCTTAATTTTTTTAAATTCCAAAAATAGTCTCTCACCTACTCAATCCTGTTTTGTACATGTGAAATTTGCACACCTATTTTTACTGAAAGAAATTCGGATTTTGGAAAGTATTGTTGATCACTGACTTTCAAAAGCTTAGAACAAATGACAAACCAACTACAACATGCACATTCACAGACATCAAATATTACAACTAAAGAAATCCATTTACCAATAAAAACAAAAGTCACATAAAAATAAAAGAATTGCTAAGTGTTTATATTTTCCAAGAACTGCTAAATGTTTATCAATTCCACAGTTCTCTTTTTTAAAGTTCTAAACACTTGTATATATACTCTCTCTCTATATATATAATTTAATTAGGTTTCAGCTTATAATAATTATGTTTGGCTTACTTCAGTTAAAAATAAAATGTTCTATAAAGCTATAACCCATTCATCTAAATAAATAATCTCATAATTAGAACTATATCTGAATGATAAAATTTTAGACTAAAGCTTCAACTTACATTAGCAACAAAAATTGTGGAACCAAGTCTACCAGCCTGCAAATTACTGATAACCTCAGGAGGAATGTTTGGATTATTCAGAATGGAAGGTGGTAAATTCATCAACCCCGATCCCATATCGGGTACATGTCCTCCTGGAAATGATCCTCCTGTTCGTTGCAATGCCCTACGAGCATTTTCTCCATCAGGATCCTATAACACACATTGAATGTTAAGTACCACTAGATACATCAGAAACTCTACACAATTAAAACAACAACTTCAAATTCTACAGTAGCTATCCCATCTGGGTTAAATTACTGGCTCTCTTAAAGAGTAAGCTTTTTTCTTATCCAGAAAATTCAGTCCCATAAAAACCTGTAGACAGATAAAAGATTATAGTCTCCAGGAATATAAATTAAATACCTCTTTCCAATCACTAAAGTCACTTAAGAACTTGAAATTAGTTTAATTTTGCCCTTGTACTAGTGTGAAAATATAGGACACATACACATAACTCAAAGAAGAACAAAATACTTACTGTAATTCTTTTCTTTCCCAAATGACCAATGCAAAGACAAACTGAGACTAATTCAAAGCTTTACAGAGCAGAGTGGTATAAAACCCAGGAATATTGGGATAGAGAGGAATTATGATAATGTGCAAATTTCACTCCTGAACAAGCAAACTGTAATTATCCACCTTCCAACCTCTTTCCCTCCTCAACATGATTATGATATAAGGCGGGGAAAAGGGGATAAAGAAAGGCTAAGTGTCTCAATGAAGAATGACAGTGAGCAATGGTTTTTTTACTTAATTAACTTTATAGGAGAAATATTCTACCTTTAAATCAAAGAAGTTAAACATACTTCTCACTCATCTCACTAAATGAAAAGCAAAAAATAAAAATAAAAACACCTAAACACAATAACAGGCTATTTCATCTGCAATACCAAATGATTATGATATATGTAAGCATCAACTCTACTCTGCTGGCCTGTCTGGGAATACTAAAAGAAAGTTTGGTGACTTTAAAACATTCTCTAGGTAATAAATTCTCTAGGGAGGCTGGGAGAATAGAAGGTGAAAAAGTGAATGCAAGAATAAATGTATTCTGGCTTCCAATATTTGTTTCATCATGAAGAATAAAAAGAAATACAGAAGTAAAGAAATAAGTGTTTTTAGAGAATGCTATAAAATATAATAATAAATGTTTCAGGTCTAAGGTTTCAAAATCTTGCACAAACACAAAATTTAAGATTTTGGTTACCTATGAAGGAGAACACAGTAGACTAAATGCTTCATGAACTATTAAGATAGGTTGTTTGTCCTTAACATTAATAAAGTATATTACTAGGTTTTGATTTGCCTTTATATACATAACATATATAAACATATATATATATATAAAACATATATACAATACAATTTATATAACACAAATTATATATAACATAGTTTTTATTCCTCCTTTTCCTTTGGATGTCAACATGCTAGTTATTGTTTGCTATTGCCAAAAAAAAATAAAAATCCAATAGTAAGTTTATAACTGTTACAAACCCCCAATGAATTACATGAAGTGAAATTCTATAAATGAATCCTAGAAATAAACTTTTCCTTAGACTCTCACTAGTAGTTCTCAGCACTGACATAACACCCGTTGGAAAATCAGTTATTCCCAGAAACAGGACCTTTAGCGATATTAATCCAAAAAGTTAACTGAATAAAGAACATCTCATCATTTAATTAGGCCAAACTATACCATTTATTCCTCTTAGAAAGGTTTAAAATAAAAATATGCTTTATTGGCATAGATCACATAATTATATTTTAGGGTCTCTGAAATATTATTGAGGATCTACAATTTGCTAAAACTTAAAAGAAGACAAACTATATGGACCTGGCCTTTAGTATCCAATAAACTTTGTTTCCAATTAAAAAGAAAAACACTAAGAATCTAGAATACTTGTCTTTGGAGAACAAAAAACACCATAAAACAGTAAATCATAATTCTCAAAATAATAATGACCCAAAGAAAGGTTATTCTACAAATGTCACCCTTATGGGAAATTATTTAGGATATCAACACATTTCTGGAACACTGGTCCTGGCTTACACATAAAAAACACTAAATAAATGGTTGACACAGACCATAACAGTCTAAACTCTCTCTACCATTCTCCACTTCCCAGCCAGAGAAAAAAAATAACCCAGGTTCAAACTGGATTAGAGGAATTCAGAGGCTAACTTCAATAAAGGGATTTGGGATATTTGTATATGTTGGTAGCATGCTTTTTCATTTTAAGCTATAGCAGGCACTAATTATCCATAGTTTTGCTTTTCTTGGCTTTAGTTACCCACAGTCAGCATAATCAGAAAATATTAAATGAAAAATTCAGAAATAAACAATTCATGTTTTAAATGGTGTGCTATCCTGAGTAGCAAGATAAAATCTTGTGCTGTCTCACACTATCCTGCCTAGAACACGAATCCGACTGTTGTCTAGCATCTTCCACACTATACACACTACCTCCACCCTTTAGTCACTTAAATGCCACCTCAGTTATCAGATCAACTATCATGCTATCACAGAATTTGTGTTCAAGTGACCCTTATCCTAATATATAAAAAGCCAGGGGCCATCATGCCTGAAACAATGGGACAGATGACCGAACACATCTGTGTGGGGCAACCCGGCCAGCAGGGGGGTTAGCGAGGGATGACCAAATGACTGAATAGCAGGCTGCATGGGCGACCAGGCTGAAGAGGCGGCGGCGCCATTGGGAGTGACCTGGCTGGTAGAGGGCAATGTGAGGAGACCATGCTGGCAGAGAATGGTAGTTTGGGGTGACCAGGCCAGCAAGGGGGTGGGCAGTAAGGGCGACAAGGCTGGTGTTGGGGGGGGGGGGGGATGGCGGCAGTTAGGGATGACTAGGCTAGCGGAGGGAGTTGGGGGCTAGCAGGCCAGCCTAAACTGGTAGTCGGACATCCCAAGGGGTCCTATATTGGAGAGGGTGCAGACTGGGCTGAAGGGGACCCCCCCCCCCCCGGCACAAATTTCATGCACCGGGCCTCTAGTTTTACTTAATAATGGTCCTAAAATGCAAGAGTAGTGACGCTGGCAATTCAAATATGCCAAAGGGAAGTTGCAGAGCTTCCTTTAAGTGAAAAGGTATGTATGGATAAAAAAAAATTTTTTAAAGAGTATATATAGGGTTCAGTACTATCGTGGTTTCAGATATCCACCAGGGGTCTTGGAATGTATCTCTTTATTGACAAGGAAGAATGGAACTACTGCATTATCAACATATACTCAGAAATAAGAGAACAATGACCAGTAACATCCCCACCTTGGACAGGAATAACATTAATTACTAGAGGCCCGGTGCACAAAATTTGTGCACAGGGGCAGGGGGGGGGGTGTATCCCTCAGCCCAGCTTGCACCCTCTCCAATCTGGACCCCTCAAATGAGGGGTCAGTTGGACATCCCTCTCACAATCCAAGACTGCTAGCTAGCTCCCAAGTGCTTGCCTGCCTGCCTTGCTGATTTCCCCTAACTGCTTCTGCCTGCCAGCCTGATCTCCCCCTAACCACTCCAATGCCAGCCTGATTGATGTCTAACTGCTCCCCTGCCAACCTGTTTGCCCCCAACTTCCCTCCTCTGCTGGCCTGGTCACTCCTAACTGCCTTCTGCTGCAGGGTTGATCATCTCCAACTGCCCTCCCTTGCAGGTCTGGTCCCTACCAACTGCCCTCCCCTGCTGGCAATCTTGTATCCACATGGGGGCAGGATCTTTGACCACATGGGGGCAGCTATCTTGATCTTGTGTGTTGGCATGATGGTCAATCTGCATATTATTCTTTTATTAGACAGGATAGAAGGCTGGTGCACGAGTGGGGACCAGCTGGTTTGCCTTGAAGGGTGTCCCGGATTAGGGTGGGGTTCTCTTGGGGCATGGAGTGGCCTGGGCAAGGGGCCTGTGGTTGTAGTAATTTGCAGGCCAGCCACGCCCTCTGGCAACCCAAGCAGAGGCCCTGGTATCTGGAATTTATTTACCTTCTACAATTGAAACTTTGTAGCCTGGAACAGAGCCAAGCCCCCTGCTCACAGCCATTTCTCTTTGGATTTGTTTACCTTCTATAATTGAAACTTTGTATCCTTGAGTGAAGGCCTGGGCCCCCCCAGGGTGTGTGGAAAGCTTGGCTTCCTCAGTTGCCAGAGAAACCCATGCCTCCCTTCTGGTAGCCATCTTGGTAGGTTTTATTTGCATACTTGCTCTAATTGGCTGGTGGACATGACTGGTGGGCGTGGCTTGTGGGTGTAGTGGAGTGATGGGTAATTTGTATATTACTCTTTTATTAGGTAGGATTATTACAGCTAAGATTTATTATATAGTTACAATATTTTGAGCACTATACTAACATTATTAAATGTTGTGTGTGTGTGTACATATATATATATATATACCTGATGCCTTATAACACTATTAATAGGTTTTAGTATTATTTCCATTTTAGAGATAGGAAATATATAGGTTTATCATGTATCTCATTTAATCCTCATAAAACCCCTATTACGTAAGTATTATCTGTACTACTATTGTAATTACTAAGGCTTAGAGAATAAGTAACATGCCTACTCACATAGCTAAAAGGTGATAGAGCTGGGACTCAAATCACTACTAGAGTAAATTAAAATTGTAACTGATAGTACGGCTCTATTACCAATGAAAACATCCGTAATACTGGAAACTCTTCATGGTCTCAAAGTTATATACTCTATCCTTTTTTAATACAGACTTTAGCAAAGATATCCTATATAATAAAGAGGTAATATGCAAATTGACCATCACCCCAACATATGGACACAGATGGCTGCCACAAGATGGCTGGCAGGGAGGGCAATTGGGGGCGATCAGGCCAGCAGGGAAGGCAGTTGGGAGGGACCAGGCCTGCAGGAGAGGGCAGTTGGGAGGGACTAGGCCTGAGGGCAGTTGGGGGCAACCAGGCCAGCACAGGAGAGCAGTTAGGAGTGAACGGGCTGGCAGGGGAGGACAATAAGAATAAGAAGGGGTAAGGCCTGTAGGGGAGGGCAGATGTGGGGGACCAGGCCTGCAGGGGAGGATAGTTAGGGGTGACCAGGCCAGCAGGGTAGGACAGTTGGGGGCAACCAGGCTGGCAGGGGAGGGCAGTTAGGGATAACAAGACCTGCAGGGGAGGGCAGTTGGGGGTGACCAGGCCAGCAGAGGACAGCAGTTAGGGAGTCAATCAGGCTGGTAGAAGAGTGGTTAGGAGTTGATCAGTCTGGCAAGCAGAAACAGTAAGAAGCAACCAGACAGGCAGGCAGATGAGTGGTTGGGAGCCAGCAGACCTGGATTGTGAGAAGGATGTCAGACTGACCATTTAGGCCTGTGGGATCGGGCCTAAACGGGCAGTTTGACATCTCTTGAGGGGTCCCAGAATGGAGAGGGTGCAGGCTGGACTGAGGGACACAGCACCCCCATGTACAAGTTTCACGCACCAGGCCTCTAGTGTATATATAACTGGTCTGGATTGTGATCAAACTATTCAGATAAGATTAACAATGTGAACTAAAGGAAGATAAGAATATGACTGCTATTCAAGCTACTTATTTTTAAGGTCAATTATACTTAACAATAAATAGTTTTTTAATATACGTTCTGATCATTCTTTTATCAATTTATTTATATTCCAACAATTCCACACAAAGGGAACATCTACATTTTAGGGAGTTCCACGTTCCAGTTATAAATTTCACTAATAGACATAACTTCAAAAAAATTTTAATCTGATATAATTTCATATTAATTTTATTAAAAGTTAATATCAATTTTATTCAAATCCATAAGGTGTTTGCATTATTAAGCAAACTCGATTACCAACTATAAGAATCCTAATATATACAAACCCTGGATCTATCACATCCACAATGACCAGAGGCTTGACTGTTCATTAGGCTGTGCACACAGCACGTCAGCAGGCTGAACTGCTGGCCTTTCATTTCAGAGAGAGAGGCATGGCTGATCAGCAGTGGCAGTAGCTGCTGGTGAGGCCAGGAAAGTGATGCAAGACCCTGTTTCTCTCTCCCTCGTCAGCAGCCAAGACTCTCTCTCTCTCCCCCAGAGGTCAGCAGTTCAGCTGCTTGCTGGTAGCCTGAGGTGGCTGCTGAACAGCCCTGCTGCTATGATCAGGCCCCATGATAGGCCTGGAGATGCTGACTGGCATAGAAATCAACCAATCAGAACCAAATCTGGGTGAATTGCAAGAAGCCAATGGCTGCCTAGGAGGTGGAGCTTTTGATGCTGACTGGCATACAAACCAACCAATGAGAACCAAATCTGAGTGAATTATGAGAAGCCAATGGCTACCTAGGAGGTGGGGTTTTTGACGCTGACTGGCATAGAAACTGACCAATCAGAACCTAATCTGGGTGAACTGCAAAGGCAGAGCCTAAGGTAGGGGCTGAGGAAGGGTTTTAAGGGAAACAGCTATTTTGTGTAAGGTGTAAGAAAATGATTCCATTTAATGACTGGTTTGGCAATATAATGCATATGGCTATTAGTCCAGATATAGGTTTATGTTTTTGTCTGCCAAGAGCATTTTCTCCTCTTGAAAAAGACTCTTCCCCTCTTCCATTTAAGCAATCCTATCCTATATAATCTATCTATACTAGTAAAAGGGTAATATGCTAATTAGACCAGGTTGACCAGCAATCTTCCAGATATCTGACTTCCTTCTGGACAAAGCCATAACAGTGGGAACCGAGGCAGAGGCCATTAGGGGCGATCAGGTTGGCAGGGGAGGGTAGTTAGGGGTGATCAGGAAAGCAGGCAGAGGCAGTTAGGGGTGATCAGACAGGCACGGGGGAAGGTAGGGGCAATCAGGCCAGCAGGCAGAGGGGTTAGGGGAGATCAGGCAATCAGACAGAAGGGTTAGGGGTGATCAGGGAGGCAGGCAGGTAGGCAAGTAGTTAGGAGCCAGTCATTCCAGATTGCAAGAGGGATGTCCCAGATTGGAGAGGGTGCAGGCCATGCTGAGGAACCCCCTCCATGCACAAATTTTATGCACCAGGCCTCTAGTATCAACTATATTTTTCAAGTTAAGCAACACAATTTAAAAATTGAAAATGTATACATCAATAAAATCGTGACATCTTTAACATTATTTTAAAGAATAGTTTATTGATTCTTAGAGAGAAAAAGGAGAGAAACATCAATATGAAAGTGCAACATCAATCAACTGCTTCTTACATACCCTCTACCAGGGGAATGAAGCCCGTAACCGGAGCATGTGCCCATGACTGAGAATAAAACTGGCTACCTCCTGGTGCACAGGGCAATGCCCAACCGAGCCACACTGGCCATAGTTTGGGTCCTGAAATTTATTTAAATAATGTACCTCTGCTTATAATAATTTGGAACAAATCATATATATAGGATAACTGCTTGAAGTCAAATAGAAAATCATGTATAAGCAAAATTATCACCAATAAATAATGCTTTAATGAACATCTATGCTAAAACAAAAAATATGTACTCAGACAAAAATCCAAAGGAAATATGTCCTTATATTCAAATGTTTAAATTATTCCAATTATAAGAACTCTTACCTCTTTAATATTCAGGGGTCTTCCGCTAAGATCATATTTGTTCATGGTTTCTAGTGCTTTCTTTACAAATTCTTCATCTTTAAATTCAACCACACTTAATTGAGAAAAAATTGGGAGGAAATTTTTATGTACTAAGGTTATTTTTTTTTTTTTTACAATCAGAAGTTTAAATTTGACTTAAGATACTTAAAAAAAAAAATTCTTACCCACAACCCTATATCCAGGAAGATTTGTCAATATATGCAAAAGAGAAAAAGGTTTCATCAGTAGACGAAGTTAATGGTAGAGTCTAACATGTAAGTCATTAAAAGCAATCAGTTAATAGTCACTTTTTTCTTTTATACCTCCAGAACATAAAAGGCAGTGACCACAATGTTTCTATAATTTTATATCTATTTAAGATAGTAGGATCTAGCATAATAAGCTTAGAACACATTTTAGATGACTCTTCTTTATGTTTAAACTAATATAATGTAATTGCACTAATTCAATCAAAAGTAATTCAAACAAATAATTGAAAACTCCAATATACCTGTCCTTACCATAGTTAGAAATAGTTTAAAGCTATTTTGCACACAAATAGTTTTAAATGTATATTTTTCAATTTTATAAAAAAATCAAATTAGGAAATATTAATCTCACTTTTAACAAAGTTCTCAAACTGGCTGCATACAACTTAACAGCATCCAGTCCCAAGAAGGCAAAAAAAAAAAAAAAAATCACCTATGTTAAAGAAACAAATTTGTAGTATCATTTTTAAAAATAATTCCTAGTCATTATTACTGTTCAAAGTGACAATGGATATAATGACCAAGTTTTTGTTTTGCGCATCCAATTGTTTTTTGCTAATAAAATTAAATACTGTTAAGAACTTTCCATTTTTCAGCATATTCTTTTCTTGCTGCTAAAAATCAAAATTGGCTATCACCCAAACCCTTCTATGTCAATTTAAATCATCAATGTCATAAATATCAATTGGTCAGAGCACTGCCTCTTATGTAGTCCTGTAGGCTACAAATTAGGTTTTTTTCAATATAAATTCCAAATATACATTCTGAATCAGCACCTTTAAGTTATAGGCCTCTCATAGGACTTTAAGGAAATATTATCAATTCAGTGACTTTTGAAATATCCTTGAAGACAACAAAACACAACAAAAAAAAATCCTATATTAAAATCTATTGTCTAAGAAGAAGCATTACCTTAGAGCATTAAAAAAGTGAATGCCCTTTATGAGCATTTATAAAACCCATCCCTTCCAGGCTGCTAGCTTGATTTGTATAAGTGTCAGACTTGCTAGAATAAAGCCTCAAATCTTGCTTAATAAAGTAAAACAAAATGAAACTTAAGTTTCCAAAAAAACTGGTACAGTATGATACAGAAAGTAAACTGCCGAGGCACTTGTAAACCTTGAGCAGGTTACTGCCCACGCACTTACCCTGGATTTTCCTTCCGCATCCTTAAAGAGCTCCACGTATGTAACCTCACCAACTACATAGACACACAAAAGGAAGATACCAAGAGACAAAGCATTTAAACACCGTGTCTGCTTTACTGCACCCTGTGCACAGCTCTACAGAAAGCACCTCTTATTCACCAACAATCAAAACCAGACCAGCATACCTCCTGTCAATGGCTCTGTAAATTTAACTGATTTTCAGAAATGTACATCATCCACATTCTCTAAAAAAGCTAACAACTGTATTAACCTAATTCATACTACAGATCATATTTTGGCCAGCATGATATAGTTGGTGAACAAATGCACATATACATACAAATGGTCCCTTCGCCTATCGTATTAAAACATCAACATTAGCACTTTTCAAATAACTTTAGTCGCCTACACACAACAGCTGTTTTAAGGTGACTTCCTACCTGAATGTCTTCAATCATGTTTGCCATCAAACTAAATTTACAAGTCATGCTTCACAGCAAGCCACACACTTTCTAAATAAAGTCAATGAATAAAACCAATCAAATAGTTGTCACCTTACAACAGATACACCAATGCAATTTTTTTTTTAGTTTATTAGAGGAGATCAGCCTCAAAGCCAAGTACATAGTTTGCAGGACTGTTGAAACTCGATTTTTCAAGAGATAACAAAACTAACTTTTACAAGATCAATTATTAAAATTATTTTCCCCCAAAACCAACCATGTATAGAAAATGTAGGTTTTCAGGTTATTCTGAAAACAAAACTGTAACAGCAATAACACAATTTTTAAATTGAACTGCAGAGACAGCATCATCGCATTCATGACAATGCAAACAAAATGAATTCCACAGCCAGATTCCAGACTCCACCAAGATAATAACAAAGCAGCTTTTGGGAAAAAATTATCAGACCTTATTATTCATACTTTAACAGCTAAATGTATTACTTAACTAATGCAATAGTCCTTTAAAAATCTATAAAAACTTCAACTAAACAAAGCAATCACTTTAACAAAGTTCTTGGTGGCATGCATATGCTGGCTAGCTACTATCCTGCTAAAATAACAAAAAGGAAAAAACTTTATTTATCCATACTACCTTGTAATGAAACTGTGTCAAGTGAAAGAAGAGGAAATGATTAATTCATGTGTCAAGAAATAAACAAAAATCAATTATTTGAGTCTCTGTGGCTCAGAGGTATAAAAAAAAAGTTTGCTTAGTTCCCTCCCCCTTCAATGTGCTTATTCAACAGTGAGTTTATCATAGATGTTTACCTTTCTCTCTCATGAGATCTTTAATAGCTTGCCATTTCATGTCATATGGGATGTTGCTAATGAAAACTCTGTTACGATTTGGACCCTTCTTCTCTCCAGTGCCTGAATTCTTATCTTTTGAATAAGGATGAAATCTATGGGCCTTCTTATTTCCTGTAGACTTTTCCTTTAATTCAGATTTCTCTTCTTTCACTGATTCATCATTCTCCCTATGAATTAAAAACAAAACAAAATGGAAGTCTATATTAAACATTAGATATTTATCACTTCACTTCACAATACTATCCAAAAGTTAGATCTCAGCAAAGCAGCTGGAAAATCAGATTGCTGGCTTTGAAATTACCCAATGCCATCTCTCAAAGCAAGGATTTGGGCATATTACCAAAATTCTCATTTCACAATCTTTTTCCCCCCTATATTATATAGCTGCAGAATCAAAAAAAAATCACCCAGCTTTTCTCATCATAATGCATAATAAAATGTCATTAGGACTTAAGAGGGGGAAATGCCTGATTTTATTCCTACAGTATATAAAACTGTCACCTTTAATGGAGAATTAACTTTCTGGGCCTTATTCAGAAATCTAAAAAATTATTTTACAAAATGATACCTTAAAATTTTCATCTCTTAAAGGTTAACAGTTTCTTCCCAGACCTTTTCTCCTCCATTGATGAAAAATATAGTTAAAAAAAAACATAGGTATAACTACATATCTATACATGTATATACTCCCATAACTCAAATTTTTTTTGTATTTTTGTATTAATCAACATAGAAAACTGATGTTATCCTAATATTTTCATGCTCAAAATTTTCTGTGTTTTAACCTATAAACTAGAATTGGGCACATTATAGAATCATGCCATTTTTATTAGTATTATCTGTAATAGAAGATGAAGTAGAGGAAGGGAGCAGTACTTAAATACACCACCAACCAGAATTCTATAAAACTACCTTTAAAAAAAAAAAAAAAATATATATATATATATATATATATATATATATATATATATTGCCAAAACCGGTTTGGTTCAGTGGATAGAGCGTCAGCCTGTGGACTGAAGGGTCCCGGGTTCGATTCCGGTCAAGAGCATGTACATTGGTTGCGGGCACATCCCTGGTGGGGGTGTGCAGGAGGCTAGCTTTCTATCCCTCTCCCTTCCTCTCTGTAAAAAAATCAATAAAATATATATTAAAAAAATATACATTTTTTTATTGATTTTTTTTTTTTTTTTTTTTTTTTTTTTACAGAGAGGAAGGGAGAGGGATAGAGAGTTAGAAACATTGATGAGAGAGAAACATCGATTCAGCTGCCTTTTGCACACTCCCCACTGGGGATGTGCCAGCAACCAAGGTACATGCCCTTGACTGAAATCGAACCTGGGACCTTTCAGTCCACATGCCGACACTCCATCCACTGAGCCAAACCAGCCAGGGCAAAACTACCTTTTAATGAGGCCCTAACTGAAAAGTTATTTAATTTATAAAACTGTAATCAGTTTTATATGTGATGCTATCCATTAACCATTTTTGGATGTAAGTATACACTTAAAATAAATCCTATAGATAAAAATTTAAATATATATATTTTTGAAATGCAATTTATTTTTTTACAGAAATAACAGCTTTATTTTAAATCACTAATTACACTAGTGAATTTAAAATTAACTAAAACTTTGATTTTAAAGCTATTTTTCATAAACATCTATAAAAAGCCAGCAAATGGAACACCTGAATGACTGGTCTCTGATACCCATTGCAGGCAGCAAACTGGCCCAATTGGGGGTGGGGCCAGCCAACCAACCTCCCATAGCCCTTCCCCAGGCAGCTGATCCCTGATCAGCCTCTCCCACCCATACCCCCTCCCCACAGGCAGCCCTGCCCCCAATCAGCCCACCCCCCTCCCCCCAATCTTGGGCAGGACCCACCAGCCAATTGTCTGTAGCCCCTCCTCCCAGCTGGCCCAGCCCTGATCCTCCCCAATTGGGGCTGGGCGACTGGACCCACCTGTGCATGAATTTATGTATGGTTGGGTGACTGGACCCCAACCATGCATGAGTTTTTGCCCTGGGCCTCTAGTATATTAATAAAAATCTCTGGGAATGGCATCCAAGAATCTACATTTTTTTAAACTTTCTGGATAATCTGATAACCAATCAGGTTTCATAATCCAGGGTCTAAATTATCTTCTAAGCCTAGCAATTGTGGAAACATACATTGCAGTGCTTCACACACACTACAATCTTATTCCATGATATATAGAACTTTTCACACACTTTTCTGAGCAAGAAAAAACATAGCCATACATATGATTTATAAAACTCTACAAAAACAAAAACTATCTGTGTTGTTATCAGCAGCATCTAGCATTGGTGACTGCTCAATAAATGTTAATTCTTAAATGAGTGAACAGTCAAATGGTAGTTAGCTCTTAATTTTAGTAGAAAAACTGCTAAAATTAAGAAACATTAGGACCACATTTGCTTTGCCACTTTTTCAGACCTTGAAAGGGACACCTTCACTATCAAACATCTTCCCTCATCAGAAATGGCAGTTTGGAAAGGAACATCTCACCTGTCCAACTCTAGCAAACTACCAAAAATGGCAACTGTTCCTCTCTATGCACAATTAAGACTGCCTATGGAAGGCAGATTAGTTTTGAGCCAAAGGTATGATCTGATGAAGAAATGAAGCTACAATTACTCCTTTTCTGAACTCTATGTCCTAAATACATTATGGAAGACATAGTAAAAATATATGTAAAATCTCTTAGGAAAACAATGCTATATAATATCAAAATACTGGCACTATATCCAGAAATTCATATAATAATTCCCAAACTATTCCTTTAGACCAGTGGTCCTCACCCTTTCAAATGCCACTACCCTTTAATACTGTTCCTCATGTTGTGGTGACCCCCAGCCATAAAATTATTTTCATTGCTACTTCATAACTGTAATTTTGCTACTGTTATGAATCGTACTGTAAATATCTGTGTTTTCCAATGGTCTACAGCAGTGGTTCTCAGTCCGTGGGTCTCTACCAACACTATTTATCCCCCCTTTACCTAACTCTTCTACCTCCTCCCAACCCTTCTCTCTCTGGTCATCACCATACTGTTGTACAGACTATGACTATTTTAAGTTACAAAAATGTTATCTACTCTTACGATTGAATTATTCCTACCCAAATGATAGCATAATTTTTTAAGAAATCAATAATGAACATCAAACAAGAAAATATGTTTTAATATTTTTAAAACATAAAGCTATAGCATGAGATCCAAAATTAAGCCCAGTTCCTTTCTTTACTCATAATATGATTTTAAAAAATACTATTCTACTTCAACTATTTCACCCTTCCCCAACACTTAATATTTTACACTAGTACCCTAATATAATTCTCAATTTCCACATACTTAATAAACCTTGAATAATGAGGAGATACAACAATACTATTTTTCCTCCTGATATTCACTTAAGAGAGGTAGGATACTATTTGGTGCGCCCACACACACACACACACACACACACACACAAAAAGACGACTACACCTAGGAAAACATCTTTAATTTCGTGACAAAAGTTGTGAACATGCCAACTAAGTCCTCTGTATATAAGTTTCATGATCATAAAAGTTCACTTCTTCATTTCTTAAATAAGTATTTATTGGGTCTTTTTAATCATAATACCTTGGGGATAAAAGATGAGTAAGACAGAGTGGTCTCCATCCTGTGACTATGGATTAACCTCAGCAAAAGTCATTTCAATCTTGATAACAAGAGGCACTGTGTTTAATTCTAAGCAATATATATTTTAAGATAATATTTGGTAATTTTTATCATCTCTATTAATTCTTACCATTAAAAATATATGGAAATCAATTGAAGTTTATACATTGAGTGTTACTACTCCTGTTGGTTCGTAGGGCCCAAAAAATGGTTGTCAGATTGCTAGTTTTTCAGTGTGAGTAGGTCACCCATGCTGGACCATTATATATTTCTATGGAATAGAGTAGACAGTTCAAGAAACCCCAGAAAGTAAACTGACCTCTTCACTCAACTTCTTGGAAAAGATAGCAGAGGAATGAATAATAAGCAATATGAAAAGGATCTGCACTTGGGCTTACTAGATAGTAACATTCCTTCACCTTGCATTTTCTTTTTCCAATTAGAAGTTAAAGAGATTCTTTTTCCACCTCTATCCCCTCCTGTCTAACTAAACCACAGTGAGACTTTAAAAGGGATTAGAGACTGTTGGATCTGATGGAAGTGATACCAGCTGTCCCTGTTGTGGAAACATATACAATGAAGGGCTCCACACACATTGGAATCTTGTTCCATGATATATAAAACTTTTCATATCCAAGTAAAGTAGGACTACTCTCTGTAATCCAAGGCTACCCTTTTTGTTCAAGAGAAAAGGGTGGCAAGACCCATGTTTAGATATTTTTATCAATAGAAAAGCATTTTAAGTGTATCATGTCACTGGTTTTCATTCATACTTATGATGCCAAATCCCTGAAAGCCCCACATATTGGTAAGCATGCAAGGAGGAGCTTCAGTCACTTTTGGTTCCTCAGTTACTGAGGTGCACCACAGTCCTTCGCTTATACCTTCACCTCTTCTGGCTAGAGGTACTGCCTTATCCTACTCAAGCCAAACTGAGAGCAAGAGTGCCCGAACCAACCTTATGTGCAACCCACCCTCAAACAGACTGATCCTGATTAACTACACTGGTTCCAACATTCTTATACAAAACGGAAGGAAGAGCATGCCCCTGGCCTATTGTAGTGTGAGCATAGGCTCACTGCCTTCTACTCCGAAGAATCACTGAGAAAAGGGAAAAATAACACATACTTTCAACTTCACGTTTAAGGAGTTGGGCATACACAAACCAATGCCTGACTTCACAGACCCTCTGGAAACAAGAACAAAGGGGGGTGGTAATCACACTTCCTTAAGAGTCACCACAAATGATGATGTGTTCCCATCAGCTCCCTTCTTTATAGGCTCTGGTGACAGGTGCGACCTTCAAAGTAGTGGATTTCTCCCAATTAAGGAAATATCGCTGTACCATTTTACCAAAGGATGAGCCTGCCATCACACACTGTTAAAAAAAAAAAAAAAAAAAAAAAAAAGCCTGCAGGGGTGGACACACTTTTGAGGAGCGGGAAGGGCGAGCAAAGGCACATGTTTCTCCCCCTTTGTAAAGCACCTCTTCCAATTCGAGGGGAACACAATGGATCCGGTCTAACAGCGCATGATTCAACTTCCTCTGGGTACCTAGCTATCCGTGCAGAAATGAGCCTTTCCTTTGAAAACACAGCGGGACCGCTGAATGCACAAAGCTCGGCAGCACGAGGCCGCAGGCCGGGCGATCCCCGGGAGGAAATGTCGATGATGTCATCCCTAGTTACTGCCTAGTGATGGGCACCCGCCGCCGGCCTCTCGGAGCCGGACACTTCCCGGGACCCGCGGCGGCCGCAGGGCTCCACTCCCGGGCCCCCGGCCAGAGGAGGGCACAGGGGGCAGCCGGGACCTCCGGCTGCCGGCGGGCCGGGCCCCGCACCCCGCACCCCGCGCCGGGCCGGGCCGGCGAGGAGGGCGGGAGGCCGACGGCCGGCGAGGCCTGGGAGCGGCCCGGCTGCACCTGCTCCTCCGGGCCGCTCCCCGGAGACCCAGCCCGGCCCCGGCCCCGGAAAACGGCCCCGGCCTCGACCTGCGCCCCCGTCCCGTCCCGCCCCCGGAGGAAAAGACAATACATTTTCACGCCGTTGGCGCCGCTGCCGCCGCTGCCGAGCTGAGGCTGCTTCTCCGTCTCCGGCGGCGGCTCTCGCCGCGGCTCCGCGGGCGGCTCCGCGGGCGGCTGCTGCTGCGGGCTGTCGTGGCCGGCGGCGCCCGGCCCCTCGGCCTTGTCCGCGTCCGCCATCCCGCCGCCGCTGCTCCACCGCCGCTGCGAGGCTCCGAGCGCGACAATGGCGGCGGCCGGGGGCGCGGTAACGGATCGCGATTTGAAAAGGCCCCGAGCGCCCAGTGGCCCGGATCTCGCGAGAACCAGCCGGGCCCCGGCGGTGGGGAGGCTGAGCGGGGGTGGGGGGTGGGAGTGCGGTGGGGGAAGGGCAGGGTTGCAGCGGCCGGTGGGGGGAAGGGCGGGGATGCGGAGGCCGCCCTGCTCATGGCGGGAGGGAGGGCGGGGCTGACCAGGGCCCTCCCCCTCCCCTGTGGGGTCAGGCTCTGCCCCCCTCACCAGCCTGTCGCTCGCTCGCTGGGCACCCCATGGTGGGGGTCTTTGCTCCCTGGGAGGCTCAGGGTGTTAGAAACCTCCGGGGCTCTGCTCCATGCAGACTATTCATTTCAGGTAGGAGCAGTTTAAAGGAGAGAAGCACACACACCGCTTTGCATCCTTAAAAGGCGTCTGCAAACCTTCAGGCTTCCCTTAGACATCCTTTGAATAATGCAAATAAATCACTTGGCACTTGAATGCCTAAGGCACCCTGTGGCTCCATACGTAGTAATTGATGACTGGTTGCAATTCAAGAAAATGAATGGCTTTTGAATTTCTGGTGAGTTCTGGTTGTTCTTGACAAAGGCTTTCCTTGGAACTCAAAAGAAGACAAGTTTTTCATGTCTCTAGGAAATAATCAATGAGGAGAGCCAGTAATTTTTATAGGAAATCTACTAGATTGGCTAATGATAGATATTTTGTTTTTTGGTTATGTCTTTATTATATGCTGATGAAAGTTATATTTGAAACAGTTATAGACTCTTAACCAAATTGAATTACCCTATGGAGTTTTAAAATACAGTCATGGATTTTTTTTTTCCCCTAAGTATAAAAATAATCCATTAAGATTAACTCCTAACTATTAAGTACTTTAATTTCACACTGAAATAACTTTTTTCAGCTGAACAGTTCAAAGAATTTCTTAAACGTTTCTTTTCATGAAGAAGCAAACATGTATGATTTACATAGTTTGCCAAATATTGCACTCGTTAGTAGTAAAGTTGTAGTTAGAAACATACTCCAGTGTTACATAATTTCCCCCTGTTCTTTGACATTTCAGGATACATGTTTCTGCGCTTAATCATAACATTTGATATGCTAGAAGAGTTCATCTATGTCATCAAACACACAAAAATGAGAACAATTTTAATCATCAAGTACACTTGCTAAAATTTTGCTGCTTAAGGTGTTATTGAGATTCTTAAACACAATCCATTCTGTTAGAGTTGCTCTGTTAAATTGTTTCTCTTCAGTCAATCTTATGACTGTTTGAAGAAGGGAATGGGAGAGGGGAAGGAAGCAGGAGAGAGAGAGAGAGAGAGAAATAATGTATGCTAAACAGGGATGAACCCAAAACCTGGGCATGTACCCTGACTGGGAATCCAACTGGCAACCTTTCAGTGCAAGGGACCATGCTCAACCACTGAGCAACACCAGCCAGGATGTGAATTGGATTTTGACACAGAAAACCTGGGTTAGGATGTGAGCTCTGCCACTTTCTCCCTGAAACTCCTTGGGCAGGACACTTCACTTTTAAATTTTTCCACAATAAATAGGAATGATAATACTTAACCTTGTACGGTTGAGTATTAAAAGAAAGCACAAAGCGCCATATGAATGTAAAGTAGTGTACAATTCCCTATTTCTCCAGGCTGGGTAGGGTTTTAGTCATAGAGAAGTCAGGTGATATTTCCAATAACTGAATTGTAAGCATTTAAAAACATTAATTACTCTAGTTATTATTTTGCTATAGTTGAATTTAATGATGAAAACTTAATCCTGCAGTCCTGAGTATATTTTTGCAAAATCATTCGATAGATCTAATTTAATATTTTTAAGAGACCTTTATGCTTGAAACAGAGTAGTATGAGGAATATAAAAAGAAGTGTGGGCCTGTTGAGAAAGGATGTTTATAAAAAGTGCTATTTGACTTCTATTATAAAGATAAAAAGCAAAGTATAATTAAAAATGTATTGCAGGCTAGAAGAGGTTGTGGGGGGGAACCTTTCTAATACTTCTAAAATTAAAGGTTTATTTTTAAAAAAAATTATTTACAAAAACAGAAGACCATCCTGCATGCTACAGTGTTATAATTAAATATTCCATTAAAATATGTATCATGATTTTGAGCTTTTGACCCCCTTTTAAATTTTATGCCTAAAACAAATGCCTTACTCACTGTACCTTAGTCCTGTTTCTATAAATGCACACAGAGCAGAGGTTAATTCCTACCTGGGGATCCCTGGGAGCTGCATAGAAGAGCCGGATCTGAAAAGATGAAGAGAATTGGGGACAGCTTCTGAAGAGAAAATGATTAATCCTTTTCACTCTATCTGACTGCTCTATAGATTGATCTTTTCTCCCTCTTTTGCTATCAATATTGTACTTAGCTAAATCTACAAAAAAATTAAATAAATAGTTATTAACATTCTATTGCTACATTCTGTTTCTGTATTTTCTTTCTTCTTGCTCCCTCTACTTTTTAAAGTCTAATTATACATGCTGTGAAATAAGTTAGTAATGTTTTAGTTTTTGTCTTCTTACAGTTCCTCTTACAAATGTGACCCTTTGCAGTTGCATAAAATGTATTAATACAACTTCACATAACCACTTAGCTTTTTTCTTACAAATTGCAATGTGTGCATGTAGAGTGTGTGTGTGTGTGTGTGTGTGTGTGTGTGTGTGTAAGTGTGTAACAGGGAGAAAGAGAGAGGGAGAGAGGGAGGGAAGAAGGGAGGAAGAGAGAGAGAGAGAGAGAGAGAGAGAGAGAGAGAGAGAGAGAGAGAGAGACCGACCATTATATATATCTGGGAATTTAACCCTAAAATCTCAAAATAGTTTCAATTAATGTTTAACATGCATCATTTAGGATTTGTGTTCAGCTGCTAGTAACAGAGACTGGAAATTAAATAATAGTGTCTGAAACAAGATATAAATTATTACTCTCTTGAGAAAAATAAATGCAGAGGGAGGTGTCTCTGAGCAGATAAAGTAGCTCCACCATCATCATGGTCTCAGATTCTTTCTTTCTTAATCTTAGACCACCCTAGTATGAGGTCTCCCTTCTGAAGATCACCCTCTAACCCAAGGTGACTGCTATAGATCTAGGCATCTTGTGGGCAAAACTTCATGCATCAGGCCTCTAGTATAATAATAACTACTAGAGTACTAGAGGCCCAGTGCAGGAATTATTGCATGGATGGGGTCCGGCTGGTCTAGCCCCAATCGGGGTGGAACAGGGCCAGGCCTGTTGGGAGTAGGAGATGGCAGGAGGTGGGCTGGCTGATGGGAGGGGCTGAAGGTGATTGGCTGGTGGGCCCCACCCCCATTGGGGGGGGGCTATTAGGAGTGGGGCTGGCTGTGGGGAGGGGCGGTGGGAAGTTGGCCAGCCAGCCCTTGCCCCAATTGGTGTGGGGAGCTGGCTGGGGGAGGGGCTACAGGCAGATGGATTGGGAAGGGCTGATCAGAGATGGGACTGGCTGTGGGGAGGAATTGTACTGGCCCACCCTGAAATGAGGTGGGGGAGGGGGCCCATTGCAGGCCAAAGGATTTGCTGGGAGAACAGGGATAGTTGGCCAGCTGACCATGCCTCTGATCAGAGTAGGGGGCCGATTGTGGGCAGAGCTGACTGAGGGGAGGGGCCACGGGCTGATAGGGGTGGTGGGGCCCATCAAAGGTGGGCTAGCTGGGGAGGGGCTGCAGGAAGTTGGCCACCCAGCCTGGCCCCCTATTGGGGTGGGGAGAGTTATCAGGGGTGGAACTGGGAAGGGGGAAGAGCTGTGGGATGTTGGCAGGCTGGCCAAGGTCATTCTGGTCATTACAGCATTCTTGTCACTGACTTTATATATAGAGATATGTATGGTGTCAGACAGGTCCTAGACTTATCAGAGAGGTCACTTCCTAAGCTATATAAATATCTAATCACAGTCTTGTACACTGGACATTAATATAATAACACATGCCATGCTCACTTTGACAGCACATGTACTAAAACTGGAATAATAAGAAAAGATCATCCTGGCCTCTGAGCAAGAATGACACACAAATTTGTGAAGCATTCCATATTTGACAAAACATAATAATATATGCCATCTGTAATTAAAAATAATAATTTTTTAAAGAATTCAAAGGCAAAAAGACCAAACTTATGAAAGTCAAACAGAAAGTGTAGTATGATTTTGAAGTCAATTTGCTTGACTTTATAAAATTAAATGGCTGCATTTGGAACTATTGAGTTTCCAAACTTTAGAGAATTAAAATGGAATTTATAACTTAAAATAATACTACAGGTGCCCTAGTCGGTTTGGTTCAGTGAATAGAGCATCAGCCTGGGAATTGAAGGGTCCAGGTTTTGATTTCGGTCAAGGGCACATGCCTGGGTTTCAGGCTCAATCCCCAATAGGGCATGTAGGAGGCAGCCAATCAATGATCCTCTCTCATCATTGATGTTTTTATCTTTCGCTCCCTCTCCCTTCCTCTCTGAAATCAATAAAAATATATTTTTTAAAAATACTACAGGTTGTATTTGAAATCCATATGTATTTTGCATCATAGAAGTTCATTCTATGATTTAAAAAGAAATGGATAGCAGTTATTGTCACTAGAAAGAAAAGTATTGTCTTATTCTGACAATCAACTACTTACTATTTCTCTCCCTCCACTTTCATTGCTCTTCTTAACTTAGGAATCTATTTTTTAGCATTTAGCATTATGAAAATACATTTTGCAGAAAGCTCTCTACCAGTAAAGTGAAGTTTAGAATTAGGGCAATTATCTGAATAATCCAGGCTGAAATTCTACTTTCACTTCAATTATTCAAATAATTCAGAAAATACCAAGGGTTTTGCTTGAATTTCCTAGATAACTGTACTTTTTTCAACTTTACAATGCTGGGATTATTATCCAATAATATTTACTTTTGATTTTTTGTAAGAAATATTGGGACTTTTTTTGAAGACTAAAGATTTCTTTAATTTCCGTATATTTATTCGAGTCTCAATTTTTATCCACAAACACTACTTTCAAGTTTTTATTTTCTGAAGATATCATTTACATTGGTTTTTATTTGTTCCTTTGCTTTATGCGATAAAACATTACAAGTTTCCTGTTTGATAAACATTTCCCTTTTTTTTTTTTTTTTTTTGACAGAACCACAATTTTGTTGAGAGTAGCAATGTGCCTAGTAAAATAGGAGGCCATAGGACAAGTTGTAAAACCAAATATGCTACAAATTCTAGTACAGTCTTTCCCAGTAAATTCTTTGCATTCCTTTTTTTCTGCAGAAGATCCCTCTTGAAACCATGAGGCAATAGTTTTGAGGACAAAAGCTACAAGCTACTGATGACAGATCATTAGTTTAGGAGATTAAAACATTGATGACCTCATAGAACCATTGTATAAGCCCTGGATTATTAATATCCAAACTTCTTGTTTTGAGAGAAAAATTATCCCTGTTGCCTTTAGGCATTGCCACTGGGTTTGTTACCTCACTTTTATAAAACGGAACCAAATCCAAAAAATCTACACTTTTGCAGCTCTTTTTCACAAGGGTCACACCACTCTTTCTGGCTACTTATGAGCCCAATTTGTTAGGAGAAATGATTTTTCAATAGTATGCAAATATTATACATTCTTTGTGGTATATTGTAGATTAGTAGGCTGAAATTGTTTCATGCCATTACATTTCAATTCACAAACTGTTTGAATATGCAAAAATATACACATAAATATGTATTTAAACAAACTTTATAAGGTGTATTTCCATGGTTTTCATGTCTTACTTTAGTCAGCAGAAAAAGAAATAAAGCTTTGGATCAAGTCAAACAATATACATATTTCATGTAGGATTTAATGCTCAAACACTTACATGTTTACCACAATAACTTGTAGGGCTGGGGGAGCAAAGGTCTAGGAGTAATGGCTAGATTTTAGGAGAGCAACAAGAAAAGCCCAGAGGGAGTAGAAGAAAGGAGATAATAAAGATCAGAGCAGAAATAAATTATATATATATATATATATATATATATATATATATATATATATATGATCAATGAAACCAAGAGCTGGTTCTTTGAAAGGAAAAACAAGATTGATGAACCTCTAGCCAGACTCACCATGAAGCAAAGAGAGAGGAATCAAATAAAATCAGAAATGAGAGAGGTGAAATAACAACAGAACCCACAGAAATACAAAGGTTTGTTAAAAAATACTATGAACAACTTTATTCCAACAAACCTAGAGGAAATGGACATATTCCTAGAAAAATATAACCTTCCAAAACTCAATCAGGAAGAATCTAAAAATCTCAATAGGCCAATAACTATGAGGAAATTGAGGCAGTCATCAAAAAACTTCCAGCAAACAAAAGCCCAGGGCCAGATGGCTTCACAGGGGAGTTTTATCAAATATTGAGGAAAAAATAAAACCTATCCTCCTCAGACTATTCCAAAAAATTCAAGAGGAAGGAATACTTCCAAGCTCATTCTAAGAAACATTACCCTAATACCAAAACCAGATAAAGACAACAAAATGGAAGAGAATTACAGGCCAATATCACTCATGAATATAGATGCCAATATCCTCAACAAAATTCTAGCAAATCTGACCCAGCATTACATCAGAAAGATCATATACCATGACCAAGTAGGATTTATCCCGGGGATGCAAGGATGGTACAATATCCACAAATCAATAAATGTGATACATCATATAAAGAAATTGAGAGATAAAAATCACATAGTCATATCAACTTATGCAGAAAAAGCATTTGACAAAATCCAGCACCCTTTCTTGATAAAAACCCTCAGCAAATGGGAATAGAGGGATCAGACCTCAACATAATATAAGCCTTGTGTGACAAACTCACAGCCAACATCATACTCAATGTGCAAAAACTAAAACCATTTCACCTAAGCACAGAATTAGACAGGGATGCCCACTTTTACCACTCCTAGTTCTGGAAGTGGTAGCCATAAAGCAATTAAACAAGATGAAGAAATAAAAGGTATTCAAATTGAAAAGAAGACATAAAACTGTCATTATTTGTAGATGACATAATACTATACTTAGAAAACACTAAAGACTCCATCAAGTAATTATTAGACTTAACAAATGAACTCAGCAATGTAGCTGGATACAAAATTAACGGAAAGAAATCTATGGCATTTTTACACACAAATAGTGAACTTACAGAAAGAGAGATTTAAAAACAATAATCCCATTTACCATAGCATCAAAAAAATTAAGATATCTAGGAATAAACTTAAGAAAGTAAAAGACCTGTACTTAGAAAACTATAAGACACAGAAAAAGAGTTAAAGAAAGACACAAACAGATGGAAGAACATACCGTGTTCATGGACTGGTAGAATCAACATCATTAAAATATCCATACTACCCAAAACAATCTATAGATTCAATGCACACCCCATTAAAATACCAACAGCATAGTTCACAAACCTACACTGAACTCTCCAAAAATTCATCTGGAATAAAAAAAGACCCCGAATAGCTGCAGCTATCCTGAGAAAGAAGAACAAAGTAGGAGGGATCTCAATACCAGATTTCAAGTTGTACTACAAAGCCACTGTCCTCAAAACAGCCTAGTACTGGCCTAAGAACAGACATACAGATCAATGGAATAGAATAGAGAACCCAGAAATCAAACCACTATGCTCAATTAATCATTTGACAAAGGAGGCATGAACATACAATGGAGTCAAGACAGTCTCTTCAATAAATGGTGTTGGAAAAATTGGACAGATACTTGCAAAAAAAAAAAAAAAAAAAGAAACTAGTCCACCAACTTACACCATACACAAAAATTAACTCAAAATGGATACAGGACTTAAACGTAAAACAGGGAACTATAAAAATACTATAGGAATTCACAGGTAGCAAAATCTCAGACATATAACAAAGCAATATAATCACTGATACAGCTCCTAGGGCAATGGAAACTAAAGAGAAAATAAACAAATGGGACTACATCAAAATAAAAAGCCTCTGTACAGCAAAAGAAACCATCAACAAAATAACAAGAAAGCCCATTGCATGGGAGAAGATATTTGCTAATGTTATCACCGATAAGGATTTAATTTCCAACACTTACAGGGATTGCATACAATTTAACAAAAGAAAGATAAACAACCCGATCAAAAAGTAGGCAAGGACCTAAATAGATACTTTTTGAAAGAAGATGGAAAGAAGGCCAAGGGTCATATGAAAACATGCTCAAAGTCACTAATCATTCCAGAGATGCAAATCAAAATGACAATGCGGTACTATCTCACACCTGTCAGAATAGCTATCATCAACAAATCAACAAACAAGTGCTGGCGAGGATGCAGAGAAAAAGGAACCTTCATGCACTGCTGGTGGGAATGCAAACTGGTGCAGCCACTGTGGAGAACAGCATGGAGTTTCCTCAAAAAAACGAAAAATGGAACTACCATTTGACCCAGTGATCCCACTTCTAGGAATACGTCCCAAAAAGACTAGAAACACCAATCAGAAAGGATATATATACCCTTATGTTCATAGCAGCACAATTTACCATAGCTAAGATTTGGAAACAACCTAACTGCCCATGTAGATGAGTGAATTAAAAAACTGTGATACATCTACACAATGGAATACTATGGTAAAAAAGAAAGAATTCTTACTGTTTGCAACAGCATGAATAGAACTGGATAATATTATTCTAAGCAAAATAAGCCAATCAGAGAAAGATAAATACACATGATCTCACTCATTTGTGGAATATAATGAACAAAGTATACTGATGAACAAAAACAAATCAGAGACAGGAAGCATCGATCAGACCCTCAAACCTCAGTAGGAAGGTAGGGAAGGGTGGGGATGAAGGGGAGAGATCAACCAAAGGACTTGTATGCATGCATATAAGCCTAATCAATGGACACAGACACCAACAGGGTGAGGGCATGAGTGGGCAGGTGGGAAGCAATGGAAGGATAAGGACACATATGTAATATCTTAATCAATAAACAAAACAAAACAAAAAGTTATGGTGGGGAGGGATCACAGGGAACCAGCACCATCTTTGTTGCCT